TTGGATTCTCTAGGACAAAATAAGTCATGCTCTGCCCAAAGTTTCAAAATCTAGAGAATGTAGCTGAATCACAGCTTAATAATTCTTTGTAACAGAGCCAAATGTGTTCAGGTTGAAAAATATCTAGTCTAGAATCTATGAATGGGGGCGGGGAGTCCCTGACCCCTGGGCAACATTTCAAAAACCCTACTGGAAATCATAAATCTAGCTCACAATAAAACTGCTCTGGCTAAAACATCACAGCTCTTTTCTTTCAACCAGGATTACAGGAACTCTGTGCAATGGTATTTGTGATGTTACAGAAGCCAAAACCTCTGAATGCCAGTTACATTTTTGATTAGTAAAAAAGGGAAACTGAATTAGCAAATCAAAAATATGTTATAACAAAATCTTTTAAAACAAGAATCAGAAAAATATTAGCATTAGAAAAAATGAAAAGGTGTTTATGGGGATAAAAGTCCCAAGGAACTTAAAAACAGGGGATATTGCCTTAATAGTAATAGTCTATTTACTGAGCCCTTACTGTGTGCTTTGAATAAGTGCTCACATTTAATCCCCACAACTAAATGAAGCTACTACTATTATACTCATTTTACAGATGAGGAAACTGAGCTCTTAAGAGTTTAATAGTTTGTCCAAGGCTGCCCAGCTGGTAGTTGGTATGGCCAAGAATCAAACTCTGGGTGATTAACTCCAAAGCCCCACTGCCAGCTCTGATGGTAGAACATCTCCTGTTTTAATTCCTTCACATTATGAGCAAAGTGTGGACCTGCAGGCTTCCTATTGTTGGGGTGTTTTCTGGTAAATCCAAATAAAGATCGACTCCATCTCAAGGCTCAAGCCTACATAACACAAAGCCAGAACACAGCCAAAACTCAATATTATCTTGCAATTTCCTTTACTAGGTTAAACTGGGCTTTAGCCTAGTAAAGAAATTACCTGAGACATTTATGAATTGATCAGAGGGGCCAAACTGACACAACTGACAGAACTATATTCTGACAGAACTATATTCTGCTAATATAGTTCCTGTCACAGAACTATATTAGCAGAAAGGAAGGCAGGATCACATCACCATAAACTTGTTTGGAATTATGTAAAATAGGTAAAACGACATGTCTGGTTATTTATTTACTAAACACGAATATGAAAATAACCCAGCCTAAGCAACCGTTAAAAATCCTTTAATCAGGGGTTAAGCAAATTGAAAAGGATGTTTGAAAGGCAAAGTTCAGAAAAAACTGGCTAACACCTTTGGAAGACTGTTTCGTAAATGAGGACAAACAGCCTCACTAAAAAGAAGTAGCCAAATTCAATGGAGGTCGATGTCTGCACGCAACCTGTCAAACCGCCCCATTGTCCTGAGGTATAGCCAGTTTAAAGGTGTCATTTTAGTAAGCACTGAAATCCATCCAGTAATGTGCAAATCTGCTACAGTGCTATTATATGAATAAATCTTTTTATCTGCATTGCAAAGGCATAAATTACTTCATGCTACAATGTATAATTAAGAAGTTAGAGGCCAGGTGCGGTGGCTCACGCCTGTAATCCTAGCACTCTCGGAGGCCGAGGCGGGCGGATTGCTCGAGGTCAGGAGTTCGAAACCAGCCTGAACAACAGCGAGACCCCCGTCTCTACTATAAAATAGAAAGAAATTAATTGGCCAAATAATATATATAGAAAAAATTAGCTGGGCATGGTGGCGCATGCCTATAGTCCCAGCTACTAGGGAGGCTGAGGCAGAAGGATTGCTTGAGCCCAGGAGTTTGAGGTTGCTGTGAGCTAGGCTGATTGATGCCATGGCACTCACTGTAGCCTGGGAAACAAAAAAAAGAAGTTAGGCCAGGCGTCGTGGCTCACGCCTGTAACCCTAGCACTCCGGGAGGCCAAGGTGGGCAGATCTCTGAAGGTCAGGAGTTCGAAACCAGCCTGAGCAAGAGCGAGACCCTGACCCAGTCTCTACTATAAATAGCAAGAAATTAATTGGCCAGCTAAAAATATATAGAAAAAATTAGCTGGGTATGGTGACGCATACCTGTAGTTCCAGCTACTTGGGAGGCTGAGGCAGGAGGATCACTAGAGCCCAGGAGTTCGAGGTTGCTGTGAGCCAAGCCCACGCCACGTCACTCCAGCCCCGGCAACAGAGTGAGACTCTGCCTCAAAAACAAAAACAAAAACACCCCCAAAACAAACAAAAAACAATTAAGAAGTTAATGTGTTATTTTGTTTCACCTGGCAAGATAAATATTGCATTACTGCAAAAATAAAAGTCATGTTTTTTTGTTTGTTGTTTGTTTTGAGACAGGGTCTTGCTCTGTTGCCCAGGCTAGAGTGCAGTGACATCAGCCTAGCTCACTGCAACCTCAAACTCCTGGGCTCAAGCAATCCTCCTGCCTCAGCCATCCAAGCAGCTGATATTATAGGGGATGCTAATTTTTGTACTTTTTATAGAGACAGAATCTCACTAAGTTGCTCAGGCTGGTCTTGAAATCCTAGACTCAAATGATCCTCCCACTTTGGCCTCCCAAAGTGCTAGGATTGTAGGTATGAGCAACCCCCTACCCCGCCCCACCAAAAGTTGTGATTTTAATTAAGCCACATTTCAATATTAAATACAAAAAAGTCTACCAAGAATTAAGCTATCTATATTCCTTACACCGTAACAGCCTAGAGATCACACAGCAAGTTGACTAGTGGTTATCCTTTGAAGTTAAAAACAAAAATCACTATTCGATTTATAAGAAGGCATTAGAAACAGCTTGGAATAAATGAGCTTCACACAGAACCAAATATGAAGAGCCACCACCAGTCGGGCAAGCTGTTAGAAAGAAACTCAGAAATTGCCTGGGATGTTTCTCTCAATGAAGAAAAAGGGTTCATTCATTTGAATAGGTTCATTCAATGAATAGTTGAAGGGTTCATTCAATGAATAGTTGAATACCTATTATATACCAAAGACAGTGCTAGGTTCTTGGGATCTTAGAGGTTGAAAATACAGATTGAAAGTCATATACTGTACTGAAAAAAAAACAAAAAAAGAGGAGAAAAAGAGATAATAAAGAAAAATTCTGGAGAAAGTAGGAATACTTTACCAGATCTAAGGGAAGAAAATGAAAATTGGGTGAAGACAAAGTTAACCAAGACTGCCTCTCCTCTGTGAAGAGTTGAGGCTGGGGGATGGGAGGTGGGACGAAGAGGGAGGTAGCTAGAAAGGTTTAGTGATGAGGGCTTAGAGCAGTTCACTGTGAAGTACAGAACACAGCTGGAAGAGGGGGCCCAGCTGTGTGGCTCTGCACTATAAATCTGTGGAGCCCCCAACAGTTCATATTTAATGTTGAAAGAGCACGTGGAAAGGGATGTTGGGCTGGAAGTGAGAACCTGGGTCTGGCCCTAACTCTGTCACTAAACAACTGGACGGATCTGGCAAGTCATATATCCTGAAGGGTTTGTACTGTAAGTTCTCTTTTGGTAGATTAAAACAAAAACATTGAAGAGTGTGCCACTAAAGACCTCTCTTTGAAATACACTGTTAATCAACATTCTCTGATGATGGTTTTTCCACTAGTTATGCATACAATTCATATTGTTCCATCCAACTCATAAGGATGGTGTGAAAGATCTGTTGAAATGAAGATGCACAAAATCTAATACAATACAGCTCCCTGGCTGCATGTTTCTGTTCACATCTAGCCTCAAAAAAAGAATATCTGGCTACATCTATGTTTTGGATTTCTTGTCTTCAGGAAGTAAATGTATTGGCAGGGAACAAACCTGAATTTATCTTAGATGTCCCAAGGTAGGGCCCACTTTTTCTTTTTTTAACCCTTGTATGTGCAATCTAGTCTCTCCATAAGGAGATCATAACAAGGGAGGAGTCCTGGAGCTTTTAGGAAGGGCTCAAACACCCTGAAATCGTAGATTGATTATCTACATGCACGTATGCACAAACTTTTTTTAGATTTTCAAAGTATATCCATACCTCCCCCAACAAAGTTAACTTCAGTGTTCAATGAATGCTCTAAGAATGTTCCTTTTCCGAAGCCAGTTTCCTAATTAGTTAATAATTGGTCTAACTCCCAGGGTTTTATTAATAGTCTAACCATCAGGTGAGGAGAGTTGCACAAAACACCATTGCTCTGCACAGCTGAACCTGTTAGTACCCTGCTTGAAAATGCAGTATTCGAATAAAGGAACAAAAACACACAGGCCACGACACGGAACACACGTTTGTCAGTCCCACGGTTTCAAAACGCCTTTGCACGCTTCATCTTTGTCGATCCTAACTAGTCGTGTAGTTCTGGGCGAGTCACTGCACCTCCGCGCCAGCCAACGCAGGAAACATGCAAAACTGCTGAATGCCGAAGGGGGCCGTGTTCCCACCCACGACGGAAGTGGGTGCCCTACACAGTCCCTCCTAGCTCCGAAATCCCAGGCCCTCCAGAGCCACCGCCAGCCAGGCAAGCTCCAGGTAAGGCCGGCAGGTGCGTCCCCGCGGAGGCCGGCGGGGCTAGGCCACCGGACGTGACCCCGAGCTCACCGCACTCGTTTCCGGAGTCGCGGCCGCCCTCCCCTCAGCCCTGCAGCCCCGCCCCGCCCGGGACTCCGAGAGCCTCAGTCGCGCCCACTGCCTGTCCACCCTCTCCCGAGCTCCTCAAACAGCCCGGCCCCGTAGACCCCGCAGGCCCCGCAGGTCCCGGAGGCCCCGCAGGCCCCGCAGGCCCCTCAGCGGCAACTAGCGCGCGAACCGCCCCCAGCACGCACTGCAGTCTCCAAGCGAGCACTGGCGCCGGCTTCGCGACGGGGACCGGCGCGCCCGTGCGCATGCGTAGGACGGGTGCCCGCCACCCGGCGCCGGGTTCCGGGGAGCTGGGCGCATGCGCCTCCTGACGCCCCAGGGCCGGCGGAAGAAGGGGTAGCAGCCGACGGCTTCCGCGCGCTTGCGCAGTAACTGAAGGCGGGCGTTTCTTTCTTCCCTTCCCCCCCCGGCCCCCCCCGAATTCGTTTTGGGGGCAGATTCGAGTTATAAAATGGCGGCCTGGGGCGTGCGCGTCGTCGTCGCAGCCGTCTTGGGCTGAGCGCTGGGCTCTCACCTCGCCGCCGAGCACAGAGACGAGCCCCCGGGGGATATGGTGTTTGAGAGTCCGGGCTTGCAGAGCACCAAGTCCTCCCAGGCTCTCGGCGCGCCGGAAGCGACCGAGCGCGCGCAGCCGGGCGACCAGCAGCCGCCTGGAACGCGAGCACCGCGGCCTCGGCCCGCTCGCCGCCGCGCCCACTGCCCCACGAGGACCGCGGCGGTCGCCGGGGAGGTGAGAGGCGGCGGCCGGCTGCGGGAGTGGAAGGGGCCGAGGGCGGGAGCCGGGGACGGGAGGGCGGGGAGCGGGCCTGGGCGGGGGTCGGGTGCGGGGCCCGGCGGAGGGGAGCCGCGGCGGGTCGGGAGCGCCGGCCGGGCCTGCGGAGGGGCGCGCGGGCGGCGGGGAAGCCGGTAGGCGGAGGGTGGGGCGGGATGACAGCGGCGACGCGGGCGGGGCTGTGTGTGAAGCCGGGCCCGGAGCCGGCCTCGGTGCCGCGGCGTGCGACCTGAGGAAGGCTCGCCCGGGCGCGGGGCCCCTGCGGCCCCGGCGGAGGTAGGAGGCCGGGCGGGCGGGGCTGCTCGGGCGCGGGCCTCCGGCTTAGCCCCCGGCGGTTCCCCTCACCGCTGCCCCCCGGGGCGGCCCCACCTCTCTCTCGCCCCCGTCCTTCACCGCTTCGGCCTGGCGTCGCCTGCTTTCTGCGTCCTCGCGCCATTCATTGGTGGCCCCTTTCCGCGGGTCCGTTTAGAAGCAGTTGGGCGACCTGGTTTCTTCCCCGTGGCGTTTGGGTCCCCGTGGTCGGCCCCCTTGCCCTTTCGTTTCGCTCTCAGGTCCTGCCACCTCTGTTTTCATCTCGGAGTCCCCTGATGTTGGCTGAAGTTCAACTCCGAGGGCAGGGCCGCGCCAGGTGGCAGCGACCACAGAACTGTGTCGGGCGCAAATGATGTCTTTTACAGTCTCCCAGACTTTGAGTTTCCTGTCACGTCGCTTCGTGCCTAGGCACCATGTCAAAACTTGGTGCCTTTTTACCCACAAGTGCAAACGTTTTTTAAACTCATTTTCATAATAGGTCTAGCTGGCACTTAGGTTTTTCCAGGTGCCCGGCCTTGTTTTAAGTACTTTACAAGAGGTTCTCTGTTTTTGGTTTTTCCTCTTCTTGCATAAAAAGAAAATGTGTTGTCTGAAGTATCTTATACTTCTGAGTAAAATAGGGATTTGGTAAAATAAATAAAATATTCTTAAAGTCTGGCTTACCATTCACGTTACTCTCTTTTTCTATGCTACAACTTTTAAATTCTGGAGGGAAAATGGTGGTTTTTTTTTTGGGGGGGGGCGTTGGTTTGGTTTGAGACAGTCTCTCACTCGGTCGCCCCCGGTAAAGTACCAGGGCGTCAGCCTAGCTCACAGCAATCTCAAACTCCTAACCTAAAGCGAACCTTCTGCCTCACCCTTCCCAGTAGCTGGGACTAGAGGTGCGCGCCACAACACCTGGCTAATTTTTCTAGGTTAAGTAGAGATGAGGGTTTCACTTTTGCTCAGGCAGGTCTCGAACTCCTGACCTCAAGCGATCCTCCCGCCTCAGCCTCCCTAGAATGTTAGGGTTACAGGCATGAGCCACCGCACCCCGCCCGCCGAAAATCATGTTTTATAGGTTTTATAGGTCATGGTTGACTATTTGTAAAAAAAAAAAAAAAAAAAAAAAGCCGTTGCATCTGACAAAACTTGTTTCTTTAAATTAATGTTTATCAAGCCCTTCCTCTGTCACAGGCACTGTTATGAACTAAGCTTTTTGTTTACTTCATTTAATTTTCATAACACTCCCTGTTCCACAGATGAAGAAACTGAGGCACAGAAATTAAATAACTTGCCCAAGGTCTCACAGCTAGAAGGTGGCAAAACTGGGATGCCAGCATCTTGAAATATTTTCTCAAATACCATATGCAGTACTCCAGGTCACTCGTTCAACAACAAAACACCAGTGATGAACTGGGCAAGTTTGGGGCACTTGGAGTATGTCAGTAAACAAAACAAAGGTCCCTGCCTTTCGATTATATATGACTTTGATTAATGTTAGAAAATGGAAGCATAATTAATTTAGATCATTTTATTAGGCCAGTTATCTCTTCAGATGTGTTAGATGTTTTATTTTTATTACAGTTTTTGCACATTCAACTCTACCTTTTTTTCCCTCCCCATAGTTAATCTTAAGTAGTAAATATAACCATTCCATCTTCTCATGTCTTCTACCCTCTGGTGGAGATGTTCTTTAATAAGTATGAAGTGGCAGCTGGGTGCTGTGGCTCATGCCTGTAATCTTAGCACTCTGGGAGGCTGAGGCGGGAGGATCCGTCAAGGTCAGGAGTTCGAAACCAGCCTGAGCAAAAGCGAGACCCTGTCTCTACTTAAAATAGAAAGAAATTAATTGGCCAACTAAAAATATATAGAAAAAATTAGCTGGGCATGGTGGCACATGCCTGTAGTACCAGCTACTCAGGAGGGTGAGGCAGAAGGATTGCTTGAGCCCAGGAGTTTGAGGGTGCTGTGAGCTAGGCTGACGCCATGGTACTCTACCCTAGGCAAACAAAAAAAGTATGGAATGCCTAGAAGAATCCACACAGAGATCTTGCCTCTGAGCAGTTTAATAAGAAGTTACATCTATTTCTGTATTTGTTTTTGTTTGTATAACAAAAATTAATAGCAAAACTTGACCAAGGATATTTGGGGAGGCATTAAAGAGAGTTGCTTTCCAGGCAGTGGAAATGTATTCATTAAATCTCATATTTTATATTTTAGAATCTTGGACTTTAAAATCATTTGTTATGTAATCAGAAAAAAAGTACATACTTACAGAAGAAAATTTAAAGATTATTAGGATGTATTAAAAGCTAAAAGCCCCTATGTAATTGCCATACAGGGCATTAGATTTTGGAGGACTTTGGAATGCCAGTATTTGGATTTTGTTCTGTAGATAATGAAGAGCAATAGATAATATGTAAGTTTGTGTCTTAATGACCTTGAAGTTTCTAGGAAGCTTACTCTTTTGGGTTGTGGTGTTGAGAGCAAATGAGAGTGGGGAAAGACTATCAGGAAGGAGTCTAAGCTTATTTAACAGTCTAAGCCTTGGCAGGTGCCTAAAGCTAGTTGATAAGTTCCTGGGTGAGGTAGGTAGCAGAGGAAATGGAAAGGTGTTTTTTTTGTTGTTATTTAGTAGGTGAGTTAGCAGAGAAGGCAGCACAGTACTCACAATGGAGCTCTCAGTTAGTTCTAGTTTTTTTGCTCGTTGTTGTTTTAATAGCAAAGGATATGACATTAGGATCAGAAAACAAATTACAAATTTGAGGGGATGCACACAAGCATCCTGTTTGGATAGGTGCTTACATCCAAAGCATAGATAATACTGTCAGTCCCCCAACTCCTACCCTTTCCCCTAACACTGTGGTATTAGAACAGTTAAGCTGATGGTTTATTTTTGAAGGGTTATAAGGCCTCAGAATGTTAACACATCCACATTATTCATTTTTTGAAGTTTAAAATGATTTATTAGCAGTATACAATTTGGGACAACTAAATGTTCAATCTTGGGAAACATATATTTCTATGACCTGTATCCTGAAGAAAAGTATTCATGTTGTGAAGGTATCAATATTTCCATTGTCTTATTAAAATTCTTACCTAAAGATAAACTTCTTTAATGAATCATCTTTAAGAGAATTTTCAATATTAAAATAGCTTTGCTAGTCTGGGCATGGTGGCTCACACCTGTAATCTTAGCATTTTGGGAGGCTGAGGTGGGTTCGAGGCTAGCCTGAGCAAGATTGAGATTCCCCTCTCTACTAAAAATAGAAAGAAGTTAGCCCGGTGTGGTGGTGTGCACATTGTAGTCCCAGCTTCCCAGGAGGCAGAAGGATCAATTTAGCCCAGGAGTTTGTGGTTGCTGTGAGCTAGGCTGATGCCATGGTACTCTTGCCTAGGCAGCAGAGCAGAGACTTTGTCTCAAAAAATATAAATAAATAAAAATTAAAAATAGTTTTGCTTATGGCAAGATGGGAAGTGTAATTTGCATAGAATAAGTTGGTTAAGGACATTTTGGTTGTATATACATAGGATTCTAGATTTTTTTAAAAATCAGTTGATATTTTGTTTTAATTTTTCCAGAAAAAGAGTGCTAGTGTTCCTTAGGAGTCATCAGCTGTCTCCTCAAATAATCTTGTATTGGATTTGTGACACTAGAAAGCCTAGCAACACCATTGTAGAGTTCTTTCTCATTAAAGCAGTTTCTACTGGCATCAGAAACCTTTTTATCTCATTTCGTGCTAGTGCACTTTTAAAATTCTTACAGAGTTAAATCTTGATGTAGAAAAGTAAACCACCTACTTCTGTTTTCTGTAACTTAGGTTTGATAAAATGGCCAAAAGAATTGCCGAAAAGGAATTGACAGACAGGAACTGGGATCAAGAAGATGAAGCTGAAGAGGTAAAAAGTAGTTTCCTTAAGAATCATTTTCTGCTTCTTCTATTAATACATGTAAATTCATTTTGGAGATTCCTCATGAAGATTGTGATTGTGATAGAATTAAAAGACATTGTAAAGAACATCCTGAATGGGAGGTATTATGGTTCCTTATAACCTGTTAGTGTAGAGGCTTATTACGTACTTTTGGGTGTGCTTTTCTACTAGCACCTGCTCCTTAAATACTCTCCTTTGTGGAAGCACCTTCCTCCTGAATTTCATGTACTTGCAGCATTCTAAATCCATGAATTTGAGTATGATATTTTAGTCATGACTAAAAGGTGAGTTAAGTGAGCTAGTCATGAACTTGGCACAGTGACTGTGCTCAAAGGTGAAAAGTGGTACATCACCACCATCTCAGTCTGCTGTAATCCATTACTTAACTGCTTTTTGGAGGCCTGCTTTATCTCTTATTTTTATAATAGCTCTGAGACCCCTAACAATTGCATTTAATAGGAACAGAATTTAGATTGGCCCAGTTTCCTTGCCAGCAAAATGCAAAGGATCTTCCCTGAGGAAATGTTTTTTTCCCTTATAAAGAATAGAACGCAACTGTATTTCTAGTGCCTTACCAGCAGTTTGATATTGCCAGACCATTTAGCTAAGGAAATCTTTAACCAAATTAGCCTTTCAAGTTAATGGCATAGTGCTAAGTTAAAAAAAAATTTAAAGAACCTGCAAAAGTGTTTTGAAGCTTCTTATTAAACTGGTAACTTCCTTCTTTCTGAATCTTTCTAGTGCTAATATTTTTTTCCTTTACACATACACATACTCTAATATGTTCAGGGATACCAAAATCACAAATATATTTTGACGGGCCTTTAACTTACTTGATACTTTTTAACTAAGTCTTTGATTATGGATTTTTCTTTAGATCTTCAGCACAGTTACATTTTGTGCTATAGTAAGATTTGAACTATCATATAATAATTTGCTTTGATATTAAAATATCTAGGAATGAAAGAGCTCCCATTTGAAAATATTCTAATGAAATGAATGGTAGAAAGATTACATTTAATTAATTACATTTAACTTGGGGCAAGTGCAGCAGTCCTTTCTATGGATGTAGGGATCCCGTTAAGTTTAACATAATCTGAAATAACTGTAGATGAGTTTTGTTTTTTGTTGTGTTTTTTTTTTGAGACAGAGTCTCGCTTTGTTGCCCAGGCTAGAGTGAGTGCCGTGGTGTCAGCCTAGCTCACAGCAACCTCAAACTCCTGGGCTGAAGCAATCCTACTGCCTCAGCCTCCCAAGTTGCTGGGACTACAGGCATGCACCACCATGCCCGGCTAATTTTTTCTATATATATTAGTTGGCCAATTATTTTCTTTCTATTTTTAGTAGAAACAGGCTCGCTCTTGCTGGTTTCGAACCTTGAGGGGTTTTTTTTTGTTGTTTTGTTTTTTTTGAGACAGTCTCACTCTGTTGCCTGGGCTAAAGTGCCATGGTGTTAGCCTAGCTCACAGCAGCTTCCAAGTCTTGACTCAAGTGATCCTTCTGCCTCAGCCTCCCAAGTAGCTGGGACTACAGGTGCACAACACCATGCCCAGCTAATTTTTTCTATTTTAGTAGAGACGGAGTCTCGTTTTTGCTTAGGCTGGTCTCGAACTCCTGACCTCAAATGATCCTCCCGCCTTGGCCTCCCAGAATGCTAGAATTATAGGCGTGAGCCTTCACACCCAGCCTGTTGATGAGAATTTTTGCACAGGAAATATTTTATTCTGGCCTTACATGGGTCAGAATGAAGGGTTTAAACAAAGCCAAAGATCTTCTCTTTATCAAATTTCTGATTGTGGGCCTGGCATGGTTGCTCACGCCTGTAATCCTAGCACTCTGGGAGGCCAAGGCAGGCAGATTGCTCGAGGTCAGGAGTTCGAAACCAGCCTGAGTGAGACTCTGTCTCTACTAAAAATAGAAAGAAATTAATTGACCATCTAAAAATATATATACAAAACATTAGCTAGGCATGGTGGCTCATGCCTGTAGTCCCAGCTACTCGGGAGGCTGAAGCAGTAGGATTGCTGAGCCCAGGAGTTTGAGGTTGCTGTGAGCCAGGCTGACGCCACGGCACTCACTCTAGCCTAGGGCAACAAAGTGAGACTCTGTCTCAAAAAAAAAAAAGAAACTGATATTTTATTCTATACTTTATTAATATCTTAGAATATACATTGGAAATATTTGAAGAATTGGTCATGAATATTTTTGTACCAAAGTTTTTTTTTTTAGACAGTTTCACTCTGTTGCCCGGGCTAGAGTGCCATGATGTCCTAGCTCACAGCAACCTCAAACTCCTGGGCTCAAGCGATCCTCCTGCCTCAGCCTCCCGAGTAGCTGGGACTACAGGCATGTGCCACCATGGCTGGCTAATTTTTTCTATATATATTTTTAGTTGGCTAATTAATTTCTTTCTATTTATAGTAGAGACAGGATCTTGCTCTTGCTCAGGCTGGTTTCGAACTCCTGACCTCGAGCAATCCACCCCCCTCAGCCTCCCAGAGTGCTAGGACATAAACTTTTTCTTAACATGCCCTCTCAGTAATTCACATTACCAGTATTAACAATATTATAAAATAAGATATAGATAAGTTTGTTGTAGCTTTTTTGCTCAGCATTTTATCTCCTTTTGGGCCTTATCTTACTGCTATTTAATTTGTACACTTCTGCAGGTGGGAACATTCTCAGTGGCCAGTGAGGAAGTCCTGAAGAATAGAGCCATAAAGAAAGCAAAGCGTAGAAATGTTGGATTTGAAGTGAGTGAGCACTGTTTCTTACAACTTTTGGTATTAAATACTAATTTGATTTCTGAGTTGCAGAGCATTTCCAACTCTGGGAGCAGTCACATCAACAAATGCTTTTTTTAAAATGGCTTACTTCTTAGTGTAGGTAATGGGAGATAGAAAAAAATAATAATGAAATCTATACCTTAATAAAGGGAGCTTATCCAGTTGAGGAAATAAGATAAATATTTTAAAAATTCAAGTCGAGTGACAACATGAAGAGGAAAAACAAAGATAGCAACATAAAAGATAGGAGAAATGGTATCAGATGGAAACGTAAGTATATTCAGAATTTTTTTTTTTTTTTAATTGAGACAGAGTCTCACTCTGTTGCCCAGGCTAGAGTGCCGTGGCGTCAGCCTAGCTCACAGCAACCTCAAACTCCTGGGCTCAAGTGATCCTCCTGCCTCAGCCTCCCGAATAGCTGGGACTACAGGCATGCGCCACCATGCCTGGCTAATTTTTTTTAGATACATATTTTTTAGTTGTCCAGTTAATTTCCTTCTAGTTTTTTAGTAGAGACAGGGTCTCTTGCTCAGGCTGGTCTCGAACTGCTGAGCTCGAAGGATCCTCCCACCTCGGCCTCCCAGAATGCTAGGATTACGGGCGTGAGCCCTAATCTGTTTAGGGAACATTATCTGTTCCCTGGGTTCAAGGCCTGGGTAGGGGGAGCCCTTTCACTATGCTGGAAGCATTTCATGTGTCAGTTTTCTTTCTAGTATGACAGTATAGTATACTAAGATGTTTCATTCCTATGCTCAAAAAGATAAAAGATGAGTTGTAACTCTTGAGTTGAAATCATGCAGTCTGTAGTGGTCACTCAGCATTTAACAACTTTTCCCCAGTATAGTCCTCACCCCTCAGATACATTCCAGACCCATAAAGTGTCAGCTTTGTGTTGTAGACATCTATTGTCACGCAGGAGAAGCCACTTTGAACATACTGGGTGGCAGCTTTGGAATAAACCACACATTTTGCAGTGTTCATTTTTTTTTATTAACCACCTCGGTACGAGCATCGACTATAGTCGATAGTCACAGATGGACACTCACAGCCAAGTGTTGACTTTAGCCAATAGCTGTGATAATGACTTTTCTAATTTTTCATTTATCAAAATAAAATGGTGAACATTTAAAAATCACGTAATGAAAACATACATGTATCTGTTACCTATTCTGATTTACATTACAAGTAAAGCTGCCTGTAAAGGAAAGCAAGCTTTCAGTGTTTAAAGCTTTCCTCATCATACAAGAGCAAAATGGATTTGTCATCAATGCACAGCACAAACTATTGTGCGGACTATGAGTGCCGGCTGTGGGCAAGGTTTCACGGCTGGTTAGTGCTGTACCAAAGTGGTTAAGGGTGAAATATATTCTTACACAGGTTGAGTATACTTAATCTGAAAATCCAAAGTACTCCAAAATCTGAAGCTTTTTGAGCACTGATATGGCACTCAAAGGAAATGCTCATTGGAGCATTTTGGGTTTCAGATCTAAGTTTGAAAATATATAAGGAAGGGAGCGGATAGGTGGGGGATATGGGGAGGCAGTCACAGTTAGAAATTTACAGCGAGTTACTATAGCAAACCTGGTGCTCAAAACATCTCATAAATGATGGTATATGTTAATAGGAAAACAATTCCATTTACAAAAATAAAATGTATTTACAATTTTCCTAGGAGATATATATATATGCAATTCAAGGCAGAGATACACAGTCACATAGCAAATTAATTCTCAAGTGGTTCCATGTAGTCACCTAGACGTATTTAAAATGTAATGGCTAATGTAATAAATACACATTCTTTGTTCCATTGCCTGCTTTAGAGTGACATGATTTCCTGGAGCTGTAAGAGCTCTTTTGTGTAGAATTTCATGTTAACTCAGGTTGCACTGCCAAGAAAGGAGATCTGAGAACCAACTCTAGAGATTAGGATTGCTGTTTTTAAATTAATTAATTTATTTATATTTTGCTGAAAGACTTTTACTTATGTTTTAATTGACAAAAATTGTCTGTTTATGGTGTACAGTGTGATGTTTTGAACTCTGTATACATTATGGCTGAATTGAGCTGATTAACAAATACATTGCCTCACTTTTTTGTGGTGAGAACACTTAAAAATCTACTCTCAGCAATTTTTAAGTATATAATACATTATTATTAACTATAGTCATCATGTTGTACAATGGATCTCTTGAACATCACTTTTTTTTTCAATTCCTATTTTTTTCTGGTCTAATTTCATTATTGCCTTATTTCATCATTGCATTATTCATCTTTGCGCTCAGATGTCAAATGTGACTCGACACGGCTAGCAAAAATTATAGAGATTAAAATTACTCTTTGAATGTATCAATAATTTGAAATATTAAAAAAGCCAAATAAATAAGTTTGTATGAAAAGAAACTCTAGTTTTTTATTCTGCCATGCTTTGTAAAATCTTGGGTATTTTAAAAACTTAAATCCTGAGTAGAATAAAGGAATCAAAATAAAAGCAAGCAAGTGCACAGGGTTAAGACTGGTGGCTAGCTGGTGGATGTAGAGGTTGGGCTGAGTGACGTTTGATGGCTCCTTCCCAGAGAATGATGCATGGGACAAGGGGACAGCCTATGGAGCCAAAGTGGATATCTTCTCGTTCAACTTTTACTTTTCTGAATGTCTTTTTTAGTTTTTGTTTTAACTAGTGGTTCTTTAATTTTATTACGATTCTAGAGCCAATTTACTGTCAGCAATTTCTAAAATACCTGTAAATAACATGTGGCTAAAGAGCCACTTGCAGCTTTACAGCTTGTCCATGAATCATTGTTTTTAAATGATAGCTATCAGTTTGATGTATTTTGATTTTGAATGATGAAAAATCAAATTTAGAGCATCAGAATCTAAGCTGTGTTAAGTGGGCAGTAAACTGAAATTTTCTATAGATGTGATTGAAACTTCTGTGGAAAAAGATACAATAATATATAGGCTAACTGGCTCATTTAGGAAATGAAGAAGTTCCAGTTGAAGTAATTTTTTGGTGAGGTCATGATTATAACCCATTTATGTGGAAACTTCAGATTTATGAACTCTCTTGGAAGTTTGGTGAAGAATACTACCCCCTGTGGTGGTTCAACCAGTACTTTGTTTTGTTTTTTGGAGACAGAGTCTCCCTTTGTTGCTCAAGCTAGAGTGAGTGCTGTGGTGTCAGCCTAGCTCACAGCAACCTCAAACTCCTGGGCTCAAGCAATCCTGCTGTCTCAGCCTCCTGAGTAGCTGGGACTACAGGCATGCGCCACCATGCCCGGCTAACTTTTTGTATGTATTTTTAGTTGGTCAATTAGTTTCTTTCAATTTTTAGTAGAGATGAGGTCTCGCTCAGGCTGGTCTCAAACTCCTGATTTTGGGCGATCTTCCCCCCTCTGCCTCCCAGAGTGCTAGGATTACAGGCGTGAGCCACCGCGCCCAACCTCAACCAGTACTTTGAACAAGAAAAGGTGTTTTGGTGGGCATGGTGGCTCACACCTGTAATCCTAGCACTCTGAGAGGCTGAGGGCAAGCCTCTGGGAGGGAATCATTTGAGCTCAGGAGTTTGAGACTAGCCTGAGCAAGAGAGAGACACCATCTCTACTAAAAAAATAGAAAAAATTAGCCGGGCATGGTGGCACATGCCTATAGTCTCAGCTACTTGGAAGCTAAGGCAGGAGGATCCCCTGAGCCTAGGAGTTTGAGGTTGCTGTGAGCCAGGCTGACGCCACAGCACTCTAACCTGGGTAACAGAGTGAGACACTGTCTCAAAGAAAAAAGAAAATATCTTAAATTGCAGTGAGCTTAGCAAAGCGCACTATAAAGTGAACCTTTCTCCAGAAGTTCCCGGGACAGAGAGCAGCTTTAGAATCTCATAAGGAATGCCAAACATTTCCAGAGCATCAGAGGGTGGTGGAGATGAGAGCGGGCTAGCACAAAGAGAAGAGGCATACTAGAAAGACCTTGCTAAAGAAAGTTTAAGAAAGAAGTAAGAGGGTGGGCACGGTGGCTCACACCTGTAATCCTAGCCATCTGGGAGGCCGAGGTGGGAGGATCCTTTGGGCTCAGGAGTTTGAGACCAGCCTGAGCAAGAGAGAGACCCTGTCTATACTAAACATAGAAAGAAATTAACTGGATAGCTCAAATATATATAGAAAAAATTAGCCGGGCATGGTGGCGCATGCCTGTAGTCCCAGCTACTCGGGAGGCTGAGGCAGGAGGATTGCTTGAGCCCAGGAGTTTGAGGTTGCCGTGAGCTAGGCTAATGCCATGGCACACTAGCCCAGGCAACAAAGTGAGACTCTGTCTCAAAAAAAAAAAAAAGAGAGAAGTAAGAAAAATAAGAATAAATGTTGCCCTGGATTGCTCACCTGACAGAAGATCTAGATTTGAGACTTGATCATCTTCTTAAGTTTCCATAGGCTGAAAGCTACAGATGTTCTTAGGAAATTAGGGTAGTGGGTAAAATATTTTTAGTTAACCTAACTTCATATTTCTACAACTTTTTTATGCAATTGGTCTTTGACTGGGATTTAGTTATTGAGAATATTTTCAGTTATTTAGAGACTCAGTGGTATGTACATGAATGTATTGCATTCGTCTTTGTTACCTTTTACGTCCTAGTACATTTTTTAAAATAATTTGCCATAAATTATGACTATCCTTGCTATTTCAGGAAGGCAGTTTTGGGTTGCAGAGCTATTCTCACAAACAGTGTCTTTCTATCTCACTTTATTTTTCTGCTTGTGCCAGCAGTTTCTAAAATGCTAATTGCATTCGGAGTCTGGGTACTATTTAGCCAAAATGATGCTGTTGCTTGCTTGCTTATTTGGTGACAGAAAGTATACTTGCCTAATGCGTAATCTTTTTTCATATTTCAGTCTGATAGCGGAGGAGCCTTTAAAGGTTTTAAAGGTTTGGTTGTACCTTCTGGAGGAGGAGGGTTTTCTGGATTTGGTAGTAGCACTGGAGGGAAGCCTCTAGAAGGACTGTCAAATGGAAACAGCACAGCTATCACCCCTCCCTTCACCAGTGCACGGGTGGCAACAGAGACCAAGGCAGCCTTCGGTAAGTAGGTTCCCCTCTCCCAGTCACATCTATTTAAGTATAATCTATGAAAAATAACTTTGCAGGAGGTTTTTCTTGAACTTATCCTGAGTCCTGGGACTGTGTGAGCAAGAACAGGGTAATAATGTAAAGGCTGGAACTTGAAGGGTTGTTGGCTGTCACAGAATGAGTGAGTAGAATACAGCCTTTTGAGCCGAAAGAGACCTAGGTTTTGTTCTCACCTCTGCCAGTTACCAGTTTTGTGACAGTGGTGAAATTCCTTAACCTGTAAGCCTCTGAATCTTCAGCTGTGAAAGAGAATGACCCTCAGAATTGACCTGAAAGTCAAAGGAAGAAAAGGAAGCACTGCATAGACCCACTGAGGCTTCTCTTCCTGCCCACTCATTCGTTATGCGTCTACCCAGGGCTTTCTGTGCACCTTATACAAAAATGCTTGCTGGGGACTCAAACAACATTGTCCCTGGTCATGGGCCTTCCAGGCTAGCTTCGTTTTGGCACAGGATGTGTTGATTGCCCTATCCTAGATTGCTGGAGTTAGTCAGAAGCTCTTGGAATTAGCAACAGAGAATGGGATCATGGACTAAAATCTTGGAAATGATCCTCACTGGTTGGATTGTATTTAGCTTATTATTCTGAAAGTATATTATTGGATTTTAATTCGGTAGAGTGTTTAATGTGGTTTAAAATAAGCATTTTCTGTTAAGGTTTTAATTACAGTTTTCTTTCGGTATCCTTGGGGACTGGTTCCAGGACCGTTTCCAGTGCTCAGTTCCTGCAGTTGGCCCAGCAGAACCCCCAGATAGAAGTCAGCGTTCTGTATCACTGGTCCTGTGTCCCATCAACACTGTGTTTGAGATCCGCAGTTGGCTGAGTGCACAGATGAGGAACCTGCAGCTAGGAAGGGTTGACTGTGCTTTGATGCTGTTCAGCCCGGCAACTTTGGATATTAAGTCTTACGCTTAACCTAATATATTCATAGTTCTGTTTGAAATAGTCATCTTTTTGAAGGAAAAGATTACTTCTTGAACACATACTTCTTGAGCTATCACAAAAATAGGATACAGTAAAAGCAGAAAATAGGAAGACAGTGGTATAAAAATCTAGATGGTTTAATCAAATCAACTTATATAAATAAATTCTTCAATCTTCAATTTCCTATAGGTTCTATGGCTGCAAATGGCCCCACCACCTTGGTTGATAAAAAGATTTCAAATCCCAAAACTAATGGTGACAGTCAGCAGCCTTCCTCCTCTGGCTTTGCTTCTAGCAAAGCCTACGCCAGCAACACCTATAACAAGCAGTTGGCTGCCTTGAACTGCTCTGTCCGGGACTGGATAGTGAAGCACGTGAATGCAAACCCACTCTGTGACCTGACACCCATCTTTAAAGACTATGAGAAATACTTAGCAAACATTGAACAGCAGCACGGAAACAGTGTCAGTAATAATTCTCAAAGCGAAGCTGACAAGACGTTGGTTGAAACACAGTCTCCTTCCCTATGTGGTTCAACAAAATTACAGCAAGAGTCATCATTTTTGTTCTCTGGCAACAAAACCGAAGATACATCTGAAAAGAAGACTGAGGTTGTGTCTGAAAAGAAAATGGACCCGTCACTAGGAGCAACAAGTGCCTCGTTTAATTTTGGCAAGAAAATTGATAGCTCTGTTTTGGGCTCACTAAGCTCTGGCCCTGTGGCTGGATTTTCATTTTCCTCTGGAAACTCCAGTTTATTTGGCAAAGATACTACCCAGAGTAATCCAGTTTCTTCACCACTTTCCACTAAAACACTGGAGAGCCAAGCAGAAGGTGGCAGTAATGAATGCAAAGGTAAATATTGCTTTAGATTTGTGTAAGTTTTGTGTGTAGTGGAAAAAGCTAGACTTGATTTGGGGTGGATCTGGATTTGCATTGTGACTCCATCATTCCCTAGTGTGATCCGGGATGAAGCTGTTTAGCTTCTCTTGAGTCTCAGTTTCCTTATTTGTAAAATAGAATAAGACCTATTTTGTAGGGTTGTTACAAGAGTTAAGAATATTAAACATAAAATGACAAATATGGAAACATCTTACAATTTTTTTTGAAAAGTATCAAACACTTGGCTTTTGATACATTAAAAGTAGCTAATTAAAAACATTTTGTGAGATCAGGTAGGGGCAGTGGTAGTGGCCCATGCCTTTAATCCCAGTACTCTGGGAGGCTGAGGTGGGAGGATTGCTTGAGTGGTAGAGTTCAAGATCAGCATGGGCAAGATAGTAAGATCCCATCTCTTAAAAAAAAAAAGGTTAGCCAGGCATGATGGGGCGTGCTTGTAATCCCAGCTACTCACTTGAATCCAGTTCAGGGCTGCAGTGAGCTATTACACCACTCACTACACTCCAGCCTGGGTGACAGTGAGGCTCAGCCAAAAAATAATGATGATTTTTTTTGAAAATTGTGTTTTAGGAAAGTTCATTATGAATATTCCCTGAATTAACTTATATTTAGGGGATTCGGTTATATATAAAGTCATGTGGCCACACAATATTTGACTATAAATTTAAAAGACTTTTCCTAGCCATAGGGAACAGTGTTTCCCCTATGGGTCTGGTGCACCACCTTTCCAGGAGGACAGCAGTGGTGACATGTCTGCAGTATGTATTGTCAGTGTCCCAGGCCAGGCAAAACATCTGGGCCTCGGTTGCAGCCCCTCCACTCCCTTTGTTCTTGGCTGTAAGAAGCTGGGTAATGTCATAATGCCTCTTCATCACCTGGTGGTTGCGAACAGATGATGTCTGTAAAGATGCCTACTTATAAGCAGTTAAAAGTGCACTACTCAGGAAGAATCACCATACTGAGCCTGCTGCAGTACTAGCTGGAGCTACTGGAGCTACTTCCCTTACTGTTGTATCTTGCCCCACCTCCAAGTCTGTCCTCGGGCTAGGGCCCTCAAGGGCAAAGGGTAGGATAAGAGCATCCCCTTTTATTCTTCTCTGCCCTCTTAGATTAGACAAATGGAGTCTTTCATGATCCTGAGGCTGTCCCTGGACACAGTAACATTGCATTTGAATTGAGCCCTAATGGATGCAGGATGCCTCTCAATAAACACCTTATTTATCTCAAGGTTACCACATTTCATGCATCAGAAAGACTTGCTAGTGTGTTAAAATAACCAATGTCAGGGGCCCACCCAGGAGAACCTAACTCAGGAATCATTTTTTAAAAACTCTTTGAGGACATTCTAGGGCACATTGTCCTTAATATAGTATCATCTTACAATTTAAATGTGACCTAATTGGTTGAACACCAGAATTTTTTTTCTTAAACAGAAGTGCTTTTCTTTTCTTTTCTTTTCTTTTTTTTTTTTTTTTTTTTGGAGACAGAGTTTCACTCTGTTGCCCAGGCTAGAGTGAATGCCATGGCGTTAGCCTAGCTCACAGCAACCTCAAACTCCTGACTTCCAGCAATCCGCCCGCCTTGGCCTCACAGAGTGCTAGGATTACAGGAGTGAGCCACCACTCACGGCCCAAAAGTGCTTTTCAATGAGGTTTATGCTGTGTTCTCTTTAAGAGGATCCCTTATTTGCATTTAAATAGTGTCCTAGATCTCCCCCTGTGTTTGGGCAGGCACTGGGGAGGGTCACTGGGGTACCTTTGGTTTCAGAGCAGTGAGCTATGTGGCAATTCAAAATAAAGCTTTAGTTATTTACACTTTGGGTAATTTGACTTTGGGATGATTTCTCTAACTGCTTGCCGTGTAGAAAACATTTATTTTTTCCCCCATCTTTGGGCATTGCTGATACCAGTTATTCCTTGAGATGTTGTGGATGTGGTCACAGGGACATTAGGGATAAAGGTATTAGAAGCCTTTTTGAGGTTTAATTTTCCAGTGGGTAATCTGAATATAAATAATTGAGTGTTGAATGAGTATTTTTCTGTAAATGTTAAAAGCGAGGACATCTTTTCATTCTAGGGCTTTCTATAAATTGGAAGTTATTTTAGAATTGAGAAATAAGTTCTCGTCAAAAATTTATTTTTCACAAAATAATTAAAATCCAGCAGGTATTCCCCCCCGCCTCCCAAAATTAAGTGTTTTAGTTTTAGTCTCTATATCCACTTACATGAAATGTTCAGGTTGAGGTTTAGGATGGTAGGTAACAAACTTCAATCACTTTTTCAAGCTCTTGATTTGAATCTTGCTGAGTTGGTGTCATTTTTGTACAAGGTGGAGATGAAGAAGAGAATGAGGAACCACCCAAAGTAGTAGTTACTGAAGTAAAAGAAGAGGATGCTTTTTACTCCAAAAAGTAAGTCATAATCCCTGAAATGGAAGCTTCTGGTCTGGAGAAGGCGGGATTAACATTGTCCTCATGGAACTTTTACTGAGCATCCAGTCCGGGCGTCAAGCTGGGCCTGCTCTGAAACGGAACCAGAAGAATTCTTGGCCTGCTTATTTAAAAACCAATTCTAGGAATTCCTGCTGGGTATATCTTAGTCTTTTCTGTGATTTTAGCTTTTTTAAAGTGCTTTAGAGATGGGCTTTTCTATGATTTTCCTGACCTCTTATAGTTCTCTCCCTTTCTTTTTCTCCTTCCTTCTCTTACCTCATCCTTCCCCCACAAAGAAAATCTCCTAGTTGCTGATTTCAGGTTCTGTTTTCTCTCTCTTAATCTGGGAGCATCTCTGATTCCTTCCTAGAGACCTGGTTGGCCTTTCTAGATTTTCTCACAACTGAAAAGTTATACACAGTAACCATACCTTCCTGCTTAGGATGTATAAAAACTCTCTTTCCTCCAATAATGAGAGCTTTTGTTTTGGTTTTTGTTTTGTATTTGTTGTAAAATGAGAACTGCTTCTTTCGGAAGAAAGAGCAAAGGAAAACTTCAATTATCTTCCTCTCTATGAAAGGAGATTACTTTTTACAAAGATATTTAGTGAAAAATAATATCTGCCATTTCAGAAGCTTTCAAGATATTTTTTAATATAAAAATTTCATTCAGAATAATGAGTCAGCAGTTTTGAATGTAACAAATCACTACATCCTGTGGTATTCCCAGGTGCTATTTTATTTTTTGAGAACTTTTAAAGAGGCCAACAGGTGGGATGTGGTGGCTCACACCTATAATCCTGGCACTCTGGGAGAGAGTGTAATCCTGGCAGATCGTTCAAGGTCAGGAGTTCGAAACCAGCCTGAGCAAGAGCGAGACCCCGTCTCTATTAAAAAGTGGAAAGAAATTAATTGGCCAACTAAAAATATATAGGAAAATTAGCCAGGCATGGTGGCACATGCCTGTAGTCCCAGCTACTTGGGAGGCTGAGGCAGGAGGATCGCTTGAGCCCAGGAGTTTGAGGTTGCTGTGAGCTAGGCTGACGTCACCACATTCTAGCCCAGGTGACAGAGTGAGACTCTGTCTCAAAAAAATAAATAAAAGAAGCCAGTAATTCCTTTTGCTTGTTTTTAAATTGAACGACTTAGATGATATAAAGGAGTGACTCTGACTTGGCGAGTTTTCTTCTAGTTAAAGTAAATCAGATGAGCAGATGGTGGGTTTGTATTATTAATAACCTAAGATTGTATAGCATGGGAGGCTGGGAAAGACATTTAATTACTTTAGCTTTAGTTAGGCCTTGCCTAAGAATGTTTTCCAAATTTATTTCAACATCTGTGGTAATCAAAATTGATGGAGCCTTTAGGAGAATTTTTAAAATAAATAGGGGCCGGGCGGGGTGGCTCACGCCTGTAATCCTAGCACTCTGGGAGGCTGAGACGGGCGGATTGCTCGAGGTCAGGAGTTCAAAACTAGCCTGAGCAAGAGCGAGACCCTGTCTCTACTATAAATAGAAAGAAATTAATTGGCCAACTAATATATATAGAAAAAATTAGCCGGGCATGGTGGCGCATGCCTGTAGTCCCAGCTACTCGGGAGGCTGAGGCAGGAGGATCGCTTGAGCCCAGGAGTTTGAGGTTGCTGTGAGCTAGGCTGACACCATGGCACTCACTCTAGCCTGGGCAACAAAGTGAGACTCTGTCTCAAAAGAGAAAAGAAAAAGAGGGAAAAAATTGAGGTGGGGGAGGTGCAAGACAGGGTGTTTACCCTGTATTTGTTCCTATCCTCATAGGACACATCAGCTCCTTAAGCTTAAGGCCACAGGAGCAGAGCAGGGAAGGAGAGATGTTCAGCTGTGATTTTTGACTCACTCAAGAAAACACTGTTTAAGAAAGTGTTATAAAAAGTTTCATAGAGTCGTCTGTTTAATTTGAAAAAATGGGGAGGGATTCTAGAATGTATAAGCCGATTTTCTTATTCTGGTTTTTGCCCAGACCCAGTCAATTTGGATCAATAAATGATTTATCCTGAAGCTTCCTGTGTTCTCATTTAATGCAAATTTTCCACACAACTGTAAGAGTGGTTAGGAAACTGTGTGACTTGATTTGTCATTGAATGCCTAATCATACCTATTATTTTTCACCACAGGTGTAAACTATTTTACAAGAAAGACAATGAATTTAAAGAGAAAGGTGTAGGTACTCTGCATTTAAAACCTACAGCAAACCAGAAGACACAGCTTTTGGTACGGGCGGACACCAATTTAGGTGGGTACCCTTTTTCAAATGGCACAACGTGATCATAATCACATCATATAGAAAAGCCTTTAACTTGTTGACTTAGTCATTGAGATTTTTGAGTTTATTAATGTGTATTTTGGAATGGAACTGAGATCATTCAGGCCAGATTCATCTTATATTTACTGATTATATTTAGTTTCAAGTACCAGGAAAATAGTAAGAAAATGTAGATGTGTTAAAAGCTATAACCAAAATGGTTTTCATTTTCTTTTGTAATAAAAGTGTGACTAATAAGCGATAGATTAATTGGATGGTTTAACAAATGCCCAAGGGGAATTAACCATTTAAAGGAATCCTTTCTTATTTTTTATCAGCCAAATTTAGTAGTAGGGGGTCATATACCAACTTTAGTGACACTAATGCTAATAAGTTCTGATAACCCACCAACATCAGACCAGCCTAAAGGAATCTTTTTATATATATAGCAAGTAATCACTAAGGTATTGCTGTCCACCCCCACCCCCGTTTTGTCCTTAAGGTGGTCCAGTGAGAGACTAGTAGCCGGGGGACGAGGGGGGCAGGCCTAAGATGAAGTGGGCGGTAGTGGTAGACCGCAACAGGCTGTGTTGCAGAAAGAAGCTCCTGGGAGATGTTATTTTTTCCCCATGGGCTTGACTAATCTGGAATAACATCACAGTAAAGTCACTGTTTCTCAGCGAGCTGTGCTTGCCTCCGTGACAGGTTCGGTGTTCATGTAACACGGTGAAGACCCTGGGTTGCGCTGATGTGTTCTCTCTCGGTGCAAGAACACCCAGTGTTCAGAGGGCTGGTGGTTCTGAGGGGCTGTGGAAGGGCAGGAAGAAGGGCAGAGGTCGCACGGTGTGACAGGGACACTGCTGGTATCTGTTGGGGAACACTGCCTGATTTTGTGACATTCCTGATGGCTCCCAATTTTAGATCCATTAAACATAAGTTGCTTCAGTATTTAATGTTTAGAGTATTATAGACTCCTTTCATGGAGCTAGAGTTCATATAACTTTGATGCATTTTTTCCTTTTAAATGCAGGCAACATATTGCTGAATGTTCTGATTCCACCCAATATGCCATGTACCCGAACAGGGAAAAATAACGTACTTATTGTCTGTGTTCCAAATCCACCTGTTGATGAGAAGAATGCCACTACCCCAGTTACCATGTTAATTCGGGTAAAAACTAGCGAGGATGCAGATGAGTTGCACAAAATTTTACTGGAGAAAAAAGATGCCTGAACACGTGACATCAACTGAGGAATCGTTGCCAAGTTGCTGCTCCCCCCACGCCCCTTAAACTCAGTCAGTTTTTCTTCTCTTCTTTGACATTCTAAGAACTTATAGATAACTTAAAACTTTTGTGAGGAAGATTAATATGGCCAATAAAACCTTTAAATATTAAGTGTCAAGAAACTGTATTCTCCCTTCTTAAGAACTGTCTAATGTGTAAAATACATTTCAATGAAATTTTTGGAAGATTTTTTAAATGTTTATTAAACTAACTGTAAGTGATTTCATAAAGGACTGGAATCAGGGTACCGATTAGCTTTCCCAAAGGCTCTTCCGACCCGTGGGTGTTCCAGCTGTTGCCGCCGCGGGCGAGGCTTTCCGGTGGCCACAGGCCGCGTCCAGAAAGGAACTTGCCTGGATGGTTCTTCACCTCTCCTGTGGGCTTGGCCGGCTTGTGAGACGAGCACTCTTAACCAAATGAAAAATGAACCATGCTGCCGTGCTGTGACAGATGTGTGTGTTTTGCTTTGTTAGGGTTTATGCTTAAGCTGAAATGTGAGTACGAGATGTCCACCTTCAGCGTTAGTCACGAGTCTATTATTCGCAGACATTGGCCTTTACCCCTGTGGGCTGCTTTACCATATATAATCCAGGAACTGCCTTTTCATTTTAAAAGGAAATGAATAGCTTGAGTTTCTTAGTTTTGTAGGTTTGGGTTTGTAGTTTTATTCATGAGGTGCTGTTAACTTCTTTATCCCCCTAAAGACAAAATTAAGATAGAGGGGGGCCTGCCAGAAATGAGGTTTAAAAGCACAAATTTGGTAGCTTACCATTTTTAGACCATGGACAGTAAACCCTAATGAAAAGAAAGTTAAGTCAAAGTGAAACCATATTAGAAAAGGAAGATAATGATGCTTATAGTCCTTTGTACCGTGATGGCCCCTGTGGATAGAAAAGCTGCCTGTGCAGTGAAGTGCATAGGAACTTTGATTACACATGAGCCAGTGAGTTCACTTGGAAACTAATGTAATGAGGTGATGGAAGAGAAAATTGAGTGTAAATTTTGCCTTTAACTTTAGACAGCAGTATATTATACATTTGATACCTGCAATATCCATTTACTTTTTTACAAACAAGATATTCAGTATGTCCATTTGGAAGGGAGCTGTGGTTATGCACAAGGATCCCTGTCACTTCTCCAGAGCTGTCAGGTAACTACCGCTAGCATTCTTTGAAGACTCTGGGCACATGCATCAGATGCAGAATTTAATGTTTAAATTTCTACTTTCATTTCTCATGAATCATCTAAAACTGGTAACTAGCTTATCTTACTTAAAGGCTCAGGTTCGGGGCCCAAGGGCTCACACTTGCATATTCTGATCTTCAGTGCATACTGTGTTCTGACTTAGAAAAGAGTAGTCAGAATAATTGTGGATAGTACAGTTGCTTTTTTAAAACTACAATCTGTGTGTGTAAAATGGGGTTCAGTTTTATGGTCAAATATGGTTAACTCTTAAGTACATGGGGTGTGGTATTTGGGCCAGCGTTTATCGCGAGACCCTTGTTCTACTTTGTTTTCTGATTGCAGTGAGAGTTGGCCCGGCGCGAGCACGTGCGGAGAGAGGTGTGTCTGCGCGGCCGCCGGGCGTGGCCAGGCTTGGCTACACTCTGCGACCGAGGGAGGAAGTGACAATTATTTTCACATTCACTTTTTAGAATTGAGAATGTGAGTTTTTGTTACAGATGATTTATAGTAAGCATGTGGTTGTGCCCAGTTCACATCAGGTTTATCCAACTGTTAAAGGATGAAGAGGAAATAAGGGGAACAAATTCCAGTACATTGCAGCGTAGCCACACAGGCTCCGGGTGCCAGCTTGGAACCGCAAGCTCCGGCATCTTGAGGAACACTTCAGCCTTGCTGCAGTATTTTGTTAGCGCCTGCATGTATAGTGGAATGTTTACAAAAAATGGCATGAAAAGATGGTGATTGGATTACCTTTTAGCTGCCCTTCCCATAAAAATAGTTTATATAATTAGTGGATATGTGTGGCTTTCTTTTTTTCTAACATTCCCAGCAAATTTTGCTGCTAAGACTATCACTGTTAAAGTGAAAATTACAGGGAAAAAAGTGATGTGTAACTCAAAATGTGATATTTTCTTAAAATCACTCTTTTATGCTTTAGGAACTTGTTGGGTCTCCATTTTAATTATGTATTAGTATAAAAGAGCCTAAGTATATGTGGATTTTATTGTAAAATCTGACTCCTTGTCTGTTACCTGGGGCAAGGGGCCCCTGGAGGGCTTACCTATTTTTCCCCACTGTGTTAACAGCTAATTCTGACCTGTGGGTTTAGTTTAATTCGTTTTTAACAAAATATTAGAAGTTAGGCTTAAAAATGTTTAATGTGGACCGAAATTTTCATCTTTAGTTTGAGAATCCATAAATTGTAACATATATGTGGCCTAAAGTAAGATGTGTATTTTTTTGTTGTTAATTCTAAAATTGCTTTGCATCTTGACAAATACTGAGTATCCCAGTGGCCTTTTTTAAAAACTGATGTATCCATCTCATCCTTTTGTGCATTCCCAGGAGGCAAAAAATTTGTTGTGCAGTCTTCATTATTAGAATTACAGACTGAAAACATGTCCAGTTTTTAAAGTTTAGGTTGTGTTTTCCACGGAAGGACAAGTCTGACCATTCAGGGACTGATTGTTCTTTAAGAGGATTGTTCTGTTTTACAATTTCAATTCTAAATCACATTTTAATATGCTGCATGCCAAAAATCTACCTCTTCTGAGGTAGAGGAAAAAAAACTAATATGCTACCTTACTATTAGAGTTCAAATGAAGTTTTCACTGAGAGTCTTTCGGTAAAGTTAAACAAGTTTGTTTTTGAGCATTTGTCATTTATTCTGATATTTCAGAAGACTTAAACTGCAGGCGCAATGGATTTGAAGGCTTTGCAAACTCCCAAACCCGAGTCTTCTCATTTGGGAGGTGGGGATTAACTGATTTGCCCTGTGGTGTGTGCAAATGACAGTGAGCTCACCCAAACTGGCCTCTTCCAATGCAGAGTTCTGAACACAGGGCCACCGTGTGTTCTTGGCCAGTAGCAATCACGGTAAGGACTGAGGACTCTCCGTGGGATTCAGACACAGTTGTAAAACTTAGCAATCGAATGGATAAATTGTTTGTTTTTATTTTAAATAGGAAATTGTTTTCTAAAACTAAAATACTTGAATCGTCAGACAATATAATCTCAGTTTGTATTAGATTTTGAATGCTCCCACTGAGAAAGTGTAACAATCCATGAAATGTGAATAAATGGAAAGTAAACAAAATCAGTGTTTGGCAATTTTATGTTCCTCTGTGATGCACTTGGCATTAAAACAAATCAGACAGACCTGAGGAGGAGAATCGTGCAAAAGGAGCAACCAGAAACCTCCCTGGACAAGAGGAAAGTGGATCTGGGGATGAAGGAGAGACGGACTAGCAGACTCCCTGTGGGGCAGGGGTGGGTACAACCACTTCCAAGCCATCAGACCAGGGTTTCTGTTGGATTCGGTTTCCACAGATTAGAGTGGGAGTAATATGTCCTCGAGTGTTGACCAGTGTGCAAGCATTGGGTCCCTTCCATGTGTTCTGTTTAGTCCCCAAAGCCTCTGGGACCTGGGCTTCAGGGCAGGTTTTCCAAAGAAACAAGTCTTAGGGGGTTGTGTTTTTCTGGAAAAAGTAAATGTGCCTGGGATTTCTGTTCACAAGTCTCAAAGAGCTGAGCTCTCTTAAGACATTTGAAAACTAGGCCTCAAAATGATCAAGAGAAGTAACTATTTTGACTTTATGTAACTAATTTTTTGCAATTTAGAACATTATTATTAAGGCACTAACATTAAATTCTAACACAGTTAGGATGGTGCTGTATTTTGGAGTCATGTTCATTTTTTTTAAAGTTTCCTAAGTTATTCAACATTTAGTTTATAAAAGGTATTGCCCAGTTAAAAAATTGCAAAGACTTGTTGTCCATCAAAGTATTTTTCCTGAACTATTAACATCTGATGGAACTATTTACATGACAATAAAAAGGTGCTATCTAAAAATAAGGCTGTGCCTAACCTGCGCCAGCCCTGTTGTCGGTTCTCAACTGGATGGCCGGGCTGCAACAGGACTTCTCAAAGCGGATGTGGGACTAGCAACACCCTTTTGAAGGATACAATTCAGTAGCTGTTAGTATGTTCGGAGTTGGGCAGCAACCTGCACATGTGCTCCGTACACTGTTACTGAAGGGTAAACTAAAAATACCCTTTGGGCACATTTCGGGGAGAAACAATGATTATCAGAATCGCCAGGAACTGTGCCAGCCCTGTACGTGGCCCCGTCTCCCTGCCACGTCGCCACGCCCTGGAAGGTAAGTGGTGATTCCACCTGGGAAAACCCAGGCCCAGGGTTTAGATAACGTTCCTAAGGTGACGTGGCTTGTTGACTAGCAGATATGTATGTGCCCATTAACAGACTAAACTTGGTTTCTAGAGTTGGATAAAATATTTTGGGCAAAATTGTTTATTCAGAATATCAAAGTTCACTAAAAACCATGGTTATTTCTAATGGGGCAACCTAGTTGTTTTATTAAAGTCAGACTCCAAGATGAAAGACCCTTAATCCACAAGTCAGAAAGAATACTATGTTGACCTGTTGGTTTACGTACATATAGGTTACGTGAGGAGGCAATTCAATGAGGCTGTAAGGAAAAGAGTACTATCTTTTAACACCCAAAACAAGTATTTTCCCTTCCTCATGTAAATGTTCCAGCTGTTCTCGTCATTTTGATAATCAAGCACAAAGTACAGCATGTTTCCACAGTCAACCTGTATATTTACAAATAAACTGTATGTTAGTGTGTGGATTGCGTTACTTTACATTTCCCTCTCCTCCCAGTGTAACTTTTTTTTTTCTAAGCTAGGGCATGACACTAGTTCCTAAAAGTTCGTCTAAGAACTGAAACCAGCAATAACAGCCTTCAAGAGTAGGCAGTTAACAGGACTGAATTTATTGCAGGTAGCTTCCAAGGCAGAGACTTTCTCCCCAAATATCAAACATTTTTCAGGTGACTGTTTTAAAAGGATTTCCCAATTATTTAACAAAGGTTTGACCTGCATGGCAGAGACGTCTTCACCTTCTAGACCACCTCCTCCTTCACGTCTTCGCACAGGCTGCCCTTGGGGAGGCTGGGTCAGAAAATCTTGGTGTTTCTAAAGCAGTGACTGTTTCTAAGGGGTGTCGTTGGTGTGCTATATCCCTGAATGTGTGCACATGTTCCTTCAGACCCTCTTTTCTCTGCCATCATTCTCCATTCTGTGACTGTCTTAGGCCTTACACCCATCACCTGTGACATAACACATCCATCTTCTGTAGAAAGAAAAAGCCTGTTGAGTGCACAGGGGACTCAGGCTTCCATCTCTGATGCACTTGCAGTAGCGGGCTCTGGGAGGATGAGCCAGGAGCGCGTGGGCCTGCTCCAACTTCCGCTTAATGGGGCGCGCGTGGGCCTGCTCCCCGTCCCGCTTAATGGAATGCATACGAGCCTCGTCCTACTTGCAAGGCAACAGCGACCACCTGTTGCAGAAGACCTGGTAGCTAATTGGGAGCCTGCTAACACCTGAACTCAGGACTCCTGGCTTCTATTCAAGTCACTTTTCCACTTCTGTGAGGGTTTAAAAGGTTCTCAAGAAAAAACTTGGGAAATTTTACAGTACAGCTGAAAGGGCAAACTGAGGTTCAATCACTGTTATCATTTTGCTGTAATATCTGTGGAGTATTTAACCTGAAATGCCTATTACAGAAAAAAATATGTTCAAATTCATTAGAGGAAAACACAGAAGAAAAACAAATAGCTAACATGCAAATCAACTTTCAAAAGAAACATGAAATCATAAAGCAAACAGGCAACCACAAATACTGCCTAGAAATGATTTCTGCTAGATGTGGAAGATGGTTAATCAAGAAGCTATTGATGTTTATGGAAATACCACTAAAAATTAGCATCCTAATATATTCAATGTATGCCTTAGGGGTGTTTTTGCTAAAATATATTTTGTAGAAATCATGAGTTAAGCTTCAAAGTGGTGAAAAGTCTCAACAGGTTTTCTTTGTAGATTTAATTACTCTCCCACAAAGACCTCATTTGGAAACCAAAGTTACCTATTTACACCCAAACTGCCTGACCTGCAAGGTGGGGGACTAAAGGACAACAGGAGCTAAGAAAGACTGAGGCGCCAGGCTGCCCAGCAGAGTTGGAGAGTCACTGCTGTTTTTGATCTACTGAGCTCAAGGACTGGAATCGTAATGATAAACATGCCTGACGTAGGAATCATAGAAAACAGTAAACACACACTTCCCCACACATCTGTGGCTTCCTCCCTGTCCCAGGCTCCACCTGCTGCAGTGCTCTGAACCCACCCCCAAGCCACAAGGCTGTTAAGTCCTCTGGCTTGTGCATGTGGCCCAAGGAGGGCTGAGGTGGCCATTTGTTCCAGGGGCTCAGAGAAAAGGCTCAAGGACTCCTTTTCCGCTGAGCACCAGGTCAGCATGAGAAGGAGGTCACATGTCACATGGTCAGTCAGTGAGAAGGAAAAAGGAAAGGGCCCCCAGCAGGTACTCGCCACCTGAGGCCCAGAGGTCACCTGCCCAGAGCGACTGGTGGCATTCTGGCCATCTGCCTGGGGAGTGGCTCCCTTGGGGGGCTGCCGCTGGTCCCTCCTAAAGCTGCTTCCGTCCAAGCCCCGGGGCACTGGCATTTTCATACCTAGGGTGGTTATTCACAAGAGCAGCACAGCAATTCTGCTTTCTGCTGCAAAGACAGGAACAAGGAAACAAGAGTTGAGGTGGTGGCAGAAGTACTTGGTTTTTGAAACTGGATATGAAACCAAATTCCAGCCAAATAGGAAAATAGCAGAGTGAAACCTATTCATTTAAAAGCTGGAGGATTTTTAATATATAAGCCTTTAAAGATTTCGACCAATTGTTTAAAACCACCACGTCATGACACTGTAAAATATATATTTTTCAGAAGTTAGTCATTGGCCAGGCATGGTGGCTCACGCCTGTAATCCCAATACTCTGGGAGGCCAAGGTGGGAAGATAGCTTGAGCTCAGAAGTTCAAGACTAGCCTGGGGAAGAGCAAGACCCTGTCTCTACTAAAAAAAAATAGAAAGAAATTAGCTGGACAACTTAAAAATTAACTAGGCATGGTGGCACATGCCTGTAGTCCCAGCTATTTGGGAGGCTGAGGCAGAAGGATTGCTTGAGCCCAGGAGTTTGAGGTTGCCCTGGGCTAGGCTGACATCACGGCACTCTAGCCCCAGGCAACAGAGAGAGACTGTCTCAAAAATAAAATAAAATAAAAAAATAAAAACATTCCTTTTTCAGTGTTTTATAAAAAAGAAAAAAGTTAAAACATAAAAAAATAAAAAATAAAAGCAAGTCAGTCATTAGAGTATACCAACTGCATAGAGATATTCCCCTGGAATGTCTTTATATGAAAAAGCAATTTCTTTTTTTACTTCATTCTTTAAAAGTCTTCTAACTAGTCTGTGATTAAAACAGCAAAAACAGATCCTGATTTGAGTCTAGATTCTTTGAGGGAAAAAAATATCTAAGGAACAGGCCTTTATATCCTTACTGTCATTCCTCCATGCAGACAGAAACCTCACTGATTTGTGCACAGTCCTTAAAAAGTCTAACTGTTTACAATGATTTGACTCACAGGAAATTCCAGCCTATCTCTAAGTTGACTTGGCTACAGAATATTTTGCTTCTTTTTGTTCTCTTTTGACTATTTCTCTGTTTTCTATGTTACTTGTGTTTTAAATAATATTCTTTTGTGGTTTTTTTGTTGTTGTTGTTTTTTGAGACAGAGTCTCACTCTGTTGCCCAGGCTAGAGTGAGTGCCATGGCGTCAGCCTAGCTCACAGCAACCTCAAACTCCTGGGCTCAAGCGATCCTCCTGCCTCAGCCTCCCGAGTAGCTGGGACTACAGGCATGCGCCACCATGCCCGGCTAATTTTTTCTATATATATTAGTTGGCCAATTAATTTCTTTCTATTTATAGTAGAGACAGGGGTCCCACTCTTGCTCAGGCTGGTGTCGAACTCCTGACCTCGAGCGATCCTCCCGCCTTGGCCTCCCAGAGTGCTAGGATTACAGGTGTGAGCTGCCACGCCCGGCCAATATTCTTCTTTTGGAATAACGAGGCTTGCCTGTTTTGCAGGCAGCCAGAAGTTGTGGCGAGACAGCAGGCGGCGAGATGAACACCACCACCTGGACTCACAGCGCTAAAAGAAGAGATGTGAATGGAGATGACACATCACCCTATCACAACCTCGTATCGTGACATTTCTTTAAAAGAAAAAAACTCACAACTTTCTTCTCAATGTCCTAAAACATGAAACCAGGTTTCCTCAAAGGAAAATTGTGCGCCAACCCCAAATCCCACGCGCGCCGTGTGTGTGCCGTGCTCTTCCCGCACCACCCACGAGTCAGGCCTGTGCCCAGGAAGACGCCAGACGGCCTTACAGGGAGAAAAAATGTATCAGCACTGGGACTTTGGGGGCCCAGGTTCTGGCCCTGTCACTTGTTACTCTATTACTCTGTTCCTGGCGCCATTTGTCACTTTAAGAAAAACCAATCTCAGAGGAACAGCTTAGTTATCAAGTGCCTCTGAGCATGTTTAAAATCTGGCCTCAGAAGTACCCTGTGGAGAAGGATTTCAAGGCTGAGAAAGGTCCACTCCGCCCCATGTCTGTCCATCTGTCCGGGCAGCACAGTGCGGATCAGAGCGCGGGCTGGCCCGTGCCTGGGTTTCACCCCTGCCGTCAGTGCTTGCTGTTCAATTTGAGGCAGTTCGCTTAACCCGCCTGCGGCTGTTCCTCATCTATGAGATGGGAAAGATGAAACCACCCGTTGAGACCGGTGCCTGCACGCGGCAGGAGCTGCGCGTTAGACAGAAGCGGCCAGACCATCGTGCGCGTCTGTCCTCGCGCTTTGCGGATGGAGGCGCAGTCTCCAAAGCCGGCCATCTGCACGCGTCCATGCGCGGTCCGCAAAGCACTCTCACACGTGACTGACACCGGCCTCACAGTCACAGGCAGGAGGGTCACCGCCCTACAGAAGGGAGCCTGACCTGCCCGGGCCCAGCTGCGGGCGCTGGCCGAGCCCCAGGGCGCCAGGGGAGAGGGCCTGCGCGCCTCTCACCTCTGAAGACAAAGCCTGCGCTGCCGCACGTCCTGGACTGCCGCCTTCCCGGAGATCATCGGGACTGAAGTCCTCCCAAGATCTAGTTCTAGAGTCGTCAGACCCCAGCGCGAGCAAGGAGGGACAGTTCCTGAAGAAACAGGTGTATTTCAGCCACGTGGACACGCACTCGGGAGCAGTGCTCAGCACCCCTGGAGCGCTCGAATGACATCCTGAGGGCCGGGCCGCACTCCAAGCTCCCTGAGGCTTCGCCCCACACGCTGGGGCGTGCCCTGACTCTGCAGTGCCCCACAACACCAGTTTGGAACATGAAATCACGCAGAACCGAGACAGCTCCGGCCTGAGCCGGCCCCCGCTGGAGGGCGTGAGCGCGTTCACTTCCCCAGCCCACACGCCAGCCTGCACCAGGCTATCACAAAAGCGGGGGCGGGTGTCAGCATCCCCTGGTCTAACACCTGACCCAAGCTGTGCCCTGACCCAGTCGTGCACTTGAACCCCGCAGACTTCAGTGAGGTAGGTGGTATTAGCCCCATTTTACAGGTGGGCAAACCGAGGCAGAATGAAATGCAATAGCTCACTTTTAATAACAATATACAAAATCTGGAGAAAGCCCCAAAGTAGTCCCCTATTTCCGGAGCCCGCAGAAGAAACACAGACAGGAGAATGAGCCCCTCCTCTTCCTTTTCCCCCACAAAGAAGATCTCTAAACACACCCCTGGAACCCTGGAAAAATTCCCGGGGACTTCGAACAAAAAACCCATAGCAACAAAGAGACCCAGCTTCCAGTTTATTCCCAGTTGGGTAGGGGGTGCCTCTGCTCGAGGAGAGCAAAGCGTCTGTCGCTGCAGACGGAAACTCCTTCATGCTGGGACAAGGCCGCAGACAGGCCTGGGCCCGGGCGGCCGCTCACAGGAGCCGGTGACATGGCTGCGTGAGCACAGGGGCCATCCCTCTTTGCTTCAGTGAGCCAGTCCTGGAAATGGTCCCAGCACACGCAAAGGAAGTAAGCTCTAGGAGACCAGGGAAGATGAAATGGCACCCCTCCGCTGCCCCACCCCCAGAGGATGGGGGTTCTGCCAAAACCTTCCTGGGAGGATGCCAACCCCACCCCGCAGCAGACGCCCTTTGGCAGAAATCCTGTTCTCCTGCCCTCAGAATCGACGTCTGCGGTCACTCCGTGTGAGGCCCGGCCGGCGTCGCGGGCGGAGGTGTGTGCGTTGGCGGTGTTCTTTGGCTGGAAGCAAAAGGCCGTTCTGGCAGGACCGGGGCCTGTCAGCTCAAGGTCTTTCTGGAGCTGGGCACGGGTGAGGCACTCCCAGCCCAGGGCAAAGCCATCAAACATCTTGGGTTCCCATCTCCCCACGGCCACCTGGTAGACAGGACAAAGTGGTAAACTCGGGAGGACGAGTCGGGACTGACTCGGGTGCTGAAGTTCATGGGGACAGCGTTACAAAACCTCAAATCGGTTTCCCTAAGAAAGAGTTGACAGCGTGACACACTGCGTGCCCCCAGCCAGGTGGCTGTCCCCTGCCGCCTGTCAGATGGGAATGCCACACCAGGAGGCCCGGCCCCTCCAGACACTCGCTGCCCCCTCACTCTCTGTTACGGCCTCTTGACACCTCTGTCCTCTCTGGGTGCAGAGGGCTCTGCAGAGCCGGCTGGGCGCTGGCGCTGGGCGGTGGGCGAGGGGCGGAGCAGAGCCAGCAAGGGAGGAGAAAGAGGCACTTCAGTTTGGGCTGGTGGTCGTGGAGTCGGCCCTGGCCCCGGGAGTTGAGTGGCCCCGCCTGGCTGCGGCTCCGGCGCTGGCTTGTCACAGAAGACTCCGGTGGCGGTGGACAGGTAGGCACTTGGCAGCACTCCCAGGGCCGGGCGGGGCCGGGGCTCCACACGGGCTCCGCGCACGGCTAGGTCATCAGGATGGGCTTCTGCCGCACTTCCAGGATGTCTGGGCAGAGGAGAGAAGCGCGAGGGACAAGGAGGCTCAGCACACCAGGTACAGCCGTGCCGGCTCCGCGTGCGAAGGAAGCCGCCCCGCCAAGCGCCTCACATGCTGGCGGGGCCACACGCCACCCCGCCCCCCACACCGGACACTGGCCTGCGGCAGCTGCTCTCCACCACCCCGGTCAGCGGTCAGCGAGGTGGCCTGGGAGCCTCGCCTCGCCCATAGGTGACACACTCCAGGGGTCTGCAGCCACCAAGAGGGGACGGCAGGGGGCGCCAGAAAGGTACCCAAAGGGAGGCCTTTAGCTGTGGAAACCTACAGCCCCATGGCAGCCAGAGGCAGGGAGGCCAGGACCCTCACGCAGAGAGCCAGCTGGCAGCTCCTCCCCTGAAACGACAGGACAGGGACAGACACCCAGGCACAGCCCTCGGCAGCGCAGGGCCCAGGAGTCACGGCTGGCTGCAAGGCGCGTCTGTCCCCACCGACGAGCATTACCTGTCAGAATCCGATGCAGTGGCAAAGTGACATAGGTTAAGTGTGCATAGAGAAGGAAGTTTCCGTCTGCTCTGTTCAGCTTCAGCCAGGACCCGACCAGCGACCTTCCCGTGCCGGACAGGGACCGGGACCGCAGGTTGGTTGCGTTGTGCAGATCGGCTGGCGGGCAGAAGGCCAGGTCAGGGCCCGGGCAGCCCTCGCCAATGCCCCCGCACCAACACCCTCACGCCCCAGAGTGCCGCCTTGCCTGTGACACCCCTCCCCCACCCCAGGGCCCAGACCCGTGCCTCCACCTCCAGGAAGACCTCCCTGACCATCCCGAGGTCTCCTTCTCTGTCTCGAGCACAGTCTTCCCCGTGGGGTCTGGCACATCACCACGATGTGTGATATCTCCACTCCCCAGTGCTGTGTGTCACTGGAACTTTTGGGGCATGAGCTGAAGTCTCCTGATCCTGGGTTAAGGTTCTACCAAGTCAGACCCCTGCCTCTTGGTCCCGGAGCTCAGGACAGGGACGGCCATCTCTTCCCACAGCCCCAGCTCCCTGCTCGGGCCCGGCCCGGGGAAGACACTCAGTCTACGTTGTCGGTGAATCCTTCACTCCTCCACGCGCTTTCCAAATGCACCCACAGCAGGCGCCCGCTCGGTCCCGACAACGGTGAGCAAGGCACGTGGGCCTCGCCAGCACGGAGCTTGCCGGACCCCCTGACCCGGCTCTGCAGGCCGCCCCGGCCCCCACAGCCATTTTCACGTGGACCGCCAAATGATATTTTGAACCCTCAAATCTGATTTTGTCCATCCCTTGCTTAAAACCCCCCAATGGCTCCCCCAGCTCTACAGACCAAACGCGACTCCTGTTTTCTGGCTGCGCAACTTGCTGACGGTGGCGCCGACCCGAGGACGGTGGCACCGACCCGAGGACGGTGGGAAGGCGCAGCCCGGGGCAGAGAGGAGATGGTGCGGGGCTGCACCGAGGGTCTCGGGGGCCTCCAGACACACGCCTGGGAGGCGGCGAGGGTCGCCAGCTCCACGTGGTGACTATCACTGGAGGGCGCGGGGGCCTGAGCAGGGGAACCCTGAGGGCGAGGCGCCCGAGACGGCCCAGAGAAGGGGTCGAGGCAGGAGCACGCCAGCCGCAGTCCGCTCAGCGCGCACCCGTGTTTGGGGCAGTCAGACCATCAGCTCCAGCCCCTTTTTTTCTTTTTAAGAGATGAGGTCTTGCTATTAACACGCTGCCCAGGCTGGTCTCAAATCCTGGGCTCAAGCGGTCTTCCCACCTCGGCCTCCTGAGCAGCTGGGCCTACAGGCGCACCCCCACTCCCAGCTCAAGCCCTTCTTAATCACGCAGACGGAAAGTCTTCAGAGTCTAGGAACCCCGCAATCGTGCGCGAACTGCTAAATGTGCGTGGTCCCGAGCACTCTGCCAGGGAGAGACCGAGCCACCAGGATGGGAGCTCCTAGAGGAGGGATCTCTGTCTGTCTGTCCACAGCTCCACCCCCAGCCCCTGCATCGCTACCTGGCACAGGGCACCTGGGGAGGGGCTCCAAATGTTGCTGAATGAGTGAGTGAGTGAGTGAGTGAGTGAGTGAGTGAATGAATGAATGAATGAATGAATGCCTAGTCTAGATCAAGAGGAGACAGAAGGTGGCAGGCGGGCCCTCAGGGCACAAAGGGGACAGGTCACCTCCACCGTCGTCCTCTCGGAAGAATTCCTCACTGTCGTTGGCCGAATGCGACTTCTTCATCTCAGCGATCCGGTTCCGGGGCACCTTCCTCTTGAGGGACGGGGAGAAGAAGGTGGGCCGGTTGTTCCGCTCCGGGGTGGGAGGGGTGCTAAAGGAGGTCACCTGGAACAAAGCGCTGAAGTCACAAGAGCAGCAAGAGCAGCCTCCGGGAGCCCAGGGCCCACCACCCATCTCCTGCCCTCAAACTGAACCCGACCCAGCTCCGGGAGACGACACTCCCGCTGTGCTGACTGGCCCGGCTGTCCTGGGCCAGGCCAGGCCTAGAAACTGGGAGGCGTGTTTCAGCTCGAGGACCGGCAGGTCACCTGACCGCCAGCACTGCCCAAGGAGGAACCAGCTGCCGCCACAAACAGCAGAGGGCCCCCCCGCCTTCCAGACCTCAAACCCCAGTCGGGCTGTTCAAGCACAAAGTCACAGCACCTGCTGACGCCGTCCAGCCAAGCACTTAACCGCACCGCACGGATCGCTGAAAACCCCCCGCTCCGTGAGTGGGAGCGGGCACTGGCCCCATCTGACAAATGAGGAAACTAAGGCAGGGACAGTGACCTTGACTTGCCTAAGGTCACCCAGCAGGGTGATGACAAAACTGGGAGTGCAACCCACGTCTCCTGCCTCCTAAGGCCACTCTCCTCCCCCTAACTTCTCTTGGCTAAAATGTCCCCACCCCTCTCGCCCCAGCATCTGCCATGAGAAGTCCTGTGGCTCAGTGGCTGTGCCTCTGTCTCCTTCTCTCCTCCCTTCCATCGCCAACATTCACACCCACTGCAGACGGACAGGCGCATGACACTGGTCCCTGCCCTCAAGGAGCTCACAGTCTGCTGGGGATGACACTCAGGAAGTGGCAACCATAGACAGCATGCTGGCTACTGAGATAGAGAAAGAGGAGCACATGGAGCAGAGGCAAAAGGGATCAACAGCCTGGGAAATCAGAGAAGGCTTCCTGGAGGAGGTGCCGCTGGAGCTGGGTCTTGAAGGACGAGTAGGAGTTCGCCAGGTGAAGAAGGGGGGGAAGGGCGTTCCAGGCAGAGGGAACTTGGCCCATCTCCTCCCTCCTCCCCATGCAAACAAGAATCTGAGGAGCAAGATGAGCTGGGACCGAGACTTCGGGGGCCCCATCAGCCTCCTCATCATGGCTCCGACATCCACCAAAGTCCCGGCGGCTGCTGGGCTCCAGACGGTCCTCCCACAAGCCGGGGAAGGTTTTTAAAAGATAAAAAAACAAACACCAGAAACCACAATACACAGTCTGCATTTCTCATGCACTGGTTACAGGTGACCCCTCTGGAAAAGGAGACAGGCAACAGTGAGCACACAGGTGGCAGTCCCCGGGGATCAGCCCTGCTGCTGACACTGTGTGACCCTAACAAGTCCCTCCCCTCAACCCCAGGGCCTCCCTGCTACTAGGAGCCAGGGCTTTCACACCCCTCGCAGCCGCACCCATTGCACAGATGGGAAAACCAAGGCTCAGGCAGGTCTAGTATCTACAGTCACTTAGCAGACACCCTGTGTCTGGACTGGCACCAGCCCGGAGCCCAGGCCGCATATGCACAAGGGCTTCACACACACATTCTGTCAGAGTCCCAGTGGGCAATTTGGGACTGGGGAAGAATTAGGCCACTTATCCCAGAAATGAACACAGAAATGTGAACTACCTCACTCCAAAGACAAGAGAGGCCCCTGCATGGAATCCTCACCCATCTTCATAAAAAATAGCACTTACTGTTTTAGTTTGGCTCATAAAACACATTGATTGCAGAAGATACCAAAGAAAGACAAAGGTATGAAGAAGAGAAAGAAAACCAACATCTGACCGCCTGGAGACATGCATGGTTAAGATCTTTTCACAGAATTGAAAGTGTCACAAATACACTCCGCCCCATCTCAGGCGTGTCAGCAGTTACGCGTTGTTCACACCCCTAAGAGGCAGTTTTCCGAGCAGAACAGCGAACAGTGACTGCAGCAGCTGCCGCTCGGAAAGGGCCTGGGCCGAGCCCCGCGCACGGGCTGGACGTGCGGTGGCTCTCTGGAGCCTCGGCACCTCGGGAAGCGGCTGTTTCCACCCTCATTTCTGGATGAGAAAACTGGGACTCAGAGAGGAAAAGAGACACGTCCAAGGTCACGGAAACAGCAGAGCGGGATTCTAGCCATGGATGTCCCTCCCAGACGGGGCTGGGCAAGGCTGCCCCTGGTGCACTGACTCACCTGTCCTGCCCAGCCGCACCTGCCCTGCACTCTGAGCTGTCCCCCGGGAGACCCACGCAGAGCAACAGCCCGTGGCCGGAGCCTCCCTCCTGCCTGCTCTCCCGGGCCTGCAACGCTGGCCCCACCAAAGGCGTCTGGGAACAGAGCTGACCTTGACCTCCCACCCCGGAGAAGGGTGGGCCTCGAAACAGCAGGGCTCAAAGTCCAGTGCCGTCCCACGAGAGCCGGTGACCTGAGGTCGCACGAGCAAGGCTGGCGAGCCTGGTTTCCAGGTCTTCGAGGCAGGTGCACGCACGCCTCCCCACAGGGGTGCTGCTAACCGATGCCACGCTGCCTCCTAAACAAGCCAGCCGGGTGGCCCCAGGGCCTCTGCCTGCCCTGGCTACCCTCACGTCATCATCGTCCCCACTGACTCACCAGGGAAGGGTGGCCACGTGCCCACGCTCACCCAGCCGGGCCACTGAGGCAGGCTTCATGGCTGGGCCTGGGTCCCCAGTCAGTCCTTTCTGCCATGTCCCTGTAGACCTAGCCAGGCTGCAGAAAGTACTCCAGCCCCAGCACTGCCCTGCCATGTGACCCTGGGCGAGGCACAGCCCCCTCTGCCCCTGGGCCCTCTCACCAGTGGGTGGGGTGGTGAGACCTGCCTCCCTGGGGCTGTGAGGAAGAGGGGGGCAGCGGGTGGATCCGAGCGACAGGAGGCCCCACCCCCCGCCGCGCAGCCCTTACCGGCTCATGCATGGGCGATGCTGGGCTGGAGTCCTCCTCAGTCCCACAGGGGGACGTGTCGCCTGTGGACACCCGACTGACCGCCATCTCAGCGTGGCCCTTGCCCTGCGGCCCCTTCATGCGCACAAACTCCATGTTGTTGTACTTGTAGAAGCCAAACGACATCTTCTGTGCCATGCGGGCGGCCACGCTCACCTGTGGGCCGGTGGGAGATGGCCTGAGTTGAGGCAGGCGGGGTGGCTCCACGGGGCCTCTCCCTCGGCATGAAGCCTCGGCGACCAGCCCTCGAGGCGCAGCCGAGGGCAGGCTCGAGGGAGGATCTGGGGGCAGACCTGGCTGCCGCTGTCCTCCGCCCCCCACCCCGCCCACGGCCAGCACAGCTCCAGGCGGGCACGCCCAGCTTGCAGACGGCCTTGCCTGGGTGGCCCCGCCGCAGGAGAGTGGCCTGCCCACCTGCTGCTCGGCCAGGCAGGGCCAGCTTCGGGAGTGTTCCCAGAGCCCGTCAAAGAGAGCAAGTGACTCGTGGTCACAGGGGCAGCGCTGCACCATCAGCGGTCACCTCGGGGAGTCACAGACTGGGGAGGACGTCCCTGCTCACATTTCAAATGGGGGTGGGTGGCCCGAGTGAGCTGAGGCAGACCATGCAGAAGGGACCTAAAGTGACCACGGAGCACCCAGGAGGAGCCCAGAGGGCAGCAGGTGCCCTGAGGGACAGCCACGGTGCAGAAGCGGCTGAGTGTCCTTTGGTGAGGACGAGGCTGAGTGGCCGTCCCCTGGGTCTGGGCAAGCTCCTGGAGGCCGCCCGCACTCACTCGGTTGTCGTACACCTTCTTCAGCGCCTCATAGCGGATGGAGCCCTGGAAGATGACGCCTTGGAACGTGTTGGTTTTGTCGCTGGCCACCAGCTCCACACAGACCATCTCTCCTTCCCCCACAGTCATGTCGCTGAACACCTGGGAGGGCAAAACAGGAGCCGGGGACGAGGACTGTCAGCTCCCGTCACCTGCAGCACCACCTGGCTTGGATGCCAGGGAGGACTGCTCAAAACCCCTGTTCCCAGTGGCATCACCCCCTGTCCAGCAGGACAGAAATACCCTCATCGTGGGATGGCGGCTGGGCAGCAGGGCAGGTCTTAACAGTGACTGTGGGGCTGGCAGAGGATGAGTCCTCGCTGGACCACAGGGAGGACCACATCCCTCCTCATGCTTCCCCGTGCCCAGGAGTCACACGTCTGCCAGGACTGCTGGCCACTTTCTAGCCTCCTTCACAGCGCCTAGGCGTGCCCTGCCCTGCACTCTACCGCACGCTCAGCAGCACCGACAGAGTGACCACCTGCCCAGGAAGACAACACCTGGACACAGGTGTCACAGACAGGTACAACCCCACACTGCTGCCTTCCGAGGTCACAGAGACTCAGGTGCAAATCTCAGCTTTGCCGTGAACAAGCTGTGCGAGCCTGGGGGGGGACATGACCTCCCCGAGCCTCAGATGCTTCCAGACACCGTCAAACCCAGCAGGCACCTGCAAGACAACCTGCCGCCCTTCTGAGTCCTCCCAGGGCCTTGAGCGCCTCTGGTGAGTCCAGCCAAGGACCCCACGAAGGCCTCAGAGGGGAGCGGGGACCAGGCCATGCAGGTCCTGTTCTGGCCAACTCCAGGCTCCCAACCTTAACACAAACGCTTGGCCCGGGTAACTTCCGGAGCCCTGCCCTCTCCGACACGCTGGGATTCCGAGGCAGGGCAGGCGCGGAGGCATTTATTTCCAGTTTACTAGTGACAACTATGACCCCTCCTGCCCAGGCAGCACTTTTTGTGAGAGTTTACGACACATTCTCCCATTCAGGAGTCTTTTGATGTTGGACTCTGACAGGTAAGTAGGGCAGTCGTTTTACAGAGGAGGAAACTGAGGCTCAGCGCTGCGTGAACACTTGCCCCAAATCAAACACCGGGAAGAGTGAGAGCCACGTTTGTCTGTGTCCATACCCTGCCCGGCTCCTCGCTGCAGCCTCCTCCGCCCTCCTGAAAGGGGACAAGGCCTAGGGCACAGGCGCCTCAACTCCCGTTCCCGGGACAGGGACGCTCGGGAGACACCACCACTGGCAGCTACTCACCTCCTCGAAGCTGTCGATCATGAAGAAGATGTTGGGGTAGCTGATCCTGGACTCCTCCCCTTTGCTGTCCATGGGGTGTTTACTGGGGGACGCAAACACTTGCTGGAAGAAAGCAGATGGGAAGCACTGAGCCAGGCCCCGCTGCGTGCAGGCCCAGAGCCACTCCAAGGACAGCCGCCGTGGCCGTGCTGCCCGGGGCTGGTCATGAGCCAGACAGCCGCCCTGGAGGAGGAGCTGTTTGGGATGGCCTGGCTCTGCCCTATGTGCACAGGACACAAGACCCCCGGGACTGAGTGGATTTCTAGAGCCAGACCCCCACCTCGGGGGCAGGGAAGTGAGGAGGAGGAGGACTTGTCCCCCAGAATAAACACCGGGCAGCCAGAGGGAGGCCTCAGGGCCCTCGGACTAGGGCTCACCTGGGATTTCTTCTTGTGGATGTGAATGTCCCCGACATCCGTGCGCGTGCACACCGCACAGGTCACCATGTAGTCCAACTGGAAGAGAACACAGGTTAGAGTGCGCGAAGGGGTCTGCTGTCCCCCTGCTGTCCCTCTGCTGTCCCTAGGGCCTACTTGACGCCCCCACCCCCACCCACCCCGTACCTTCTGCAGGATGAGATTCAGGCAGACGCTCTCCTCCCAGTCAATGTCAGGGTCTCCCAGGCCCGGCAGCTTCTTGGAGTCCCGCCGGTACACCTCCACCTCCACCTCGGGCTCGGCCTCAGCCACCTGCGAGGCCCAGGGCAGAAGTGGGCGTCCAGGACGTGCTGTGGCCTCCAGGACGTGCTGTGCTCTTCCCGCCCCGGACTGTGCTCTGGGCAGGCACTAGGTAGGCTAGCACTCCAATTCTTGCTCCGGAACTCTCTAGCTATGTGACCCAAAGGTCAACCATTCTCCTCTTTGAGCCTCAGTTTCCTCATCTATACAATGGGCTAAGGGCATCTTCCTCTCAAAGTTGTGCTAATTATAAGAGAAAATATTTGCTAAATGTAATCCTAGCACTTTGGGAGGCCGAGGCAGGAGGACCACTTGAAGCCAGGAGTTTGAGAGCAGCCTAGGCAATGTATGGAGAATTTACCTCTACCAAAAAATGTTTTAAAACTTAGCCTGGCTTGGTGGTGTGCACCTGTAATTCCAGCTACTCAGGAGGCTGAGGTGGAGGATCGCTGAGGCCCAAGAGTTTAAGGCTGCACTGATCTATTGTCATGCCACTGCACTCCAGCCCAGGCAACAGAGGGAGAGACTGCCTCAAAAAAAAAGTGACACTTACTGAGCTCGTGATGGGCAGCAGGGTCTGGGCTAAACATTTTGCAAATTATTAATGCTTTCAGTTCTAACAACAAGCCTAAAGCCAGGTATTACTAGCTCCATTTTAGATTAACAAATCTGCTGAAGATCAAATAGTGAATACAATTCAAAGAGAAAACAGAGCGTCTGTCTACACCTCTCCTGGGAGAAGAGTTATCAAGGAAAAATCAAAAGCGGATTCAAATGCAGCCTATCCTGGCCGGGGGCCTCAAGTCCTGGGTCCTGTTTAAGCCCAGGAGAGTCTCGCAGACTCGGGCTCTGAGGGGTAGCTAGGCACACCCCGCTGGGCAACGCTGAGCCCTCACACAGGCCGAGCACCCCAAGGCAGAGCTGGGATCCTTGGAAAGAGGTGCAGGAGGCCGAGCTTGCCCGAGTGAGAAGGAAACGTCCGGCGGGTGCGGAAGCTCCCACTTCCTACTGCCTGTGTGGCTCTGCAAAGTCTCCCTGCGTCCCTGAGCTGACAGTCCTCGTGTCCACGAGACTGTTGCTCCTCTTGGTCTCACTTCATTGCCCTATTTGGGTATTTTTCCTCCCAGTTTGTACCACTCTCTGCTATCATCTTGTTTGGTCTCCTCCAAGAGACGGCAGCTCCCAAAGGGCAGGTAGCACGTGCGCTCTGCACGCAGAAGGTGCCCTGCAGACCTCCGCCCCCCAGGAAATGAAAGGAAAAGGGCGCGGGCACAGTCGAGAGACTGTCTGCAGGCCAGCAAAGCGGTGCACTGGACAGACAAAAGAGCAGGCTCCCATCAGAAAGGTGCCCGTGTGTGCGCCAAAAGACAGGTCCGAGGAAGTACCAGGAGCTGCTCGGTGACCACCCACAGAAGAGACGGGCGACTGGCGTAAACTCCATGGGCTATCATGCAGCAATGAGACGGCACAGACTACAGCCACCTGTGTCAACAGGCGCCACTCTCCCAAATATAACACGAGAAGGGAAAGAGCTGGCGCTGAGCAAGCCCAGCGGGTGGCCTGCGAGACCAGGCCGAACCACAGGAAGGGCGAGGTGTCAGGGCAGAGGCTGCCCTGGGGGAGGCGGAACGCCGGATCAGTCAAGGGGCCTTGGGTGTTCTGGTCATGCTGCCTCTTGATCTGGGGGCTGGTGACGCCATGTGTTCATGCTAAGCAAAATCATCAAGCTGTATACATTTCTCTGTGCATTTTTCTATGTGTACATTAGATTGAAAAACATCTTCCAAAAAAGAAAAAGCAAGACTGCGAGTAGAGCTTCACCACCCAGAAGCTGTGTGAGCCAGGGCAGGTCCTTCCCCTCTGGGCTTTACTTTTCTGTGAGTAGGGGTGAGGACTATCTGCACCCCAGCATGCTGAGGGTGTCGATGTGAGTGACAGTGGCACACAGCACAGGCCATGAGCACAGAGCAGGCCTGAATTCAGATGGCAGTTCCCCCGCTGCCAAAGACAAAATCGGCTGCCTGGGAACAGTGCGTGTTTTGTGCAGGGGAGTAAACAGAGAGGCCAGGGAATCACGACATCCCTCCCTGGGAAAGGCTGGACCGGGATCCCCGAGGTGGTCCCCAGGGCCCTGGAGCTGGGTGCACAGATCCCAGCATCCTGGGCCTACCCACACTGCAGTCCCTGCCTATCCACCCTCCTCTAGCTACGACCAGGAAGGCGGGCTGGGCTGGTTGCCATGGTGACCAGGTAGCAGCAAGATGGGGATGGGAAGGGGGTGGGAAGCAAGCAGGAGGGCGGGAAGCCGCTGGCTTGCTGCAGAGGGCGAGCAGTGCGCAGGCGCCTCCGGTGGGGCCCATGGCTTGCTGCCTTCCAGGGGCGGGTCTCCAGCTCGCGCTGCCAGCCCGCCCCTGCAGGCCGTCCTCCGCACTGCGGCTCCGCCAACTGGGAAAACCAAAGTCGGGGTGATCCCGGGCTGCTAAGCCCTACAAACACTGCGCCAGGCTCGCTCGCGCGCGCCCTCACCCACCCTGCAGGGTCTATGCTGGCGCATGGCACCCGCCGTCCTGCTCTGCATGCGCTGATCTCTCCACTGCTGCTGCCCCCTCTGTCCTACGACCTGCCGCGGCCAGTGTCACCTTCTCTTTGCAACGCCCCCCTTCCCGCCATCCCGGCGCTGAGGGCTCCACACCCTGGCCTTGCTGTCGGTCTGTCCCAACAGACTGGGGGCTCCCTAAGAACTGGGGGCAGGTCTGAGTCATTTCTGCGCTCCCTGCACTGGGGGAGGAGGTATCTGCACTTGGGTCAAGTGGGTGTCCAATGGAACATTCTAGCACATCAATAGCTGGATTGTCACATGCTCCCATGGGACTCAGGCTTCTGTCACTGACCTCCACACCCCCAAATCTTCAAGAAAGTTTAGACACTGCCCCATCGCCTCCTGCTCCAAATTCCTCAGTCCCAGATCCAGGTCTACTCTTTCTCAGAGAAGGGCTCTCACCTTTAACTTCCCTTCCACGCAGGAAGGATCCATTACCTGCCCATTCCTTTCTCTCCCCACCTGTGCTCCCCCTTCTGCCTGCTCTCCTCACCAGAGCTGTGACCGCTCCTGGACCCGAAATTCAAAGTACAGTCGAGAGTGTCTCAGATGTGCCAGTCCTCATCAGAGCCTCTGGTCACAACAGACTTTGTCTTGGGGAAAAGACCAACATTTTGCAAAAAAGATTCTCTGCTATCTGAACTCCTGCAGAAGCTGACAGGCCAGAGTGGCAGGGGCAGAGGCTGGAGTCCACAGCACTGCCACCTCCTGGCTGTGCATCCTTGGCTTTAACCCCCTGACTGTGGGTAGGAGCTGGGCTGAGGCTGGAGGAGGGTGTGATCACCATGGGGGTCACAGGCACACGGAGGATGCCTAGACACCAGGAACCTTCCTGCCAAGAGTACTCATGTGATCACATCAACCCCAGGCATGCCAGGTCCCAGGAGTCCACAATGGAAGGGACCTAACCTTACAAAGCACCTGCCCTGGCCCCTTATACAGAAGGAAAGGCTGAGCCCCAGAGAGATGACTTGACAAAGTCACATGGCAAATTCAGGGGGAAACAATGCCGGTCTAGAAAGCTGGTCTCCTGACTGCACAGCAAGACAGGGAGGACCTGGTGGCCATGGACTCAGAAACTCACAGTCAGGCTCCAGAAGGTGCTCAGCTCAGACTTCCCACCACCAACACCCTGCCCCCACAATTCTACCAATCAGCCCACCTTTGCATCCCTCCCAGAGGGCACCCTTTGCCCTGCCCACTGAAACTGCTCTGCTAAAAGCCTCCCCCCATACCTGCTATCAAATCCAATGGGTCCTCTGGGCACTGTGCCCCAATGGCCACGCCCACTTCTGCAGGCGCTCCCCTCCCTAGGAACCCTTCCCTCTCCCGCCTTTTCCCCCACCTCTCTGGCTGGTCTCTGGTCTCCTGCTGGTCCATCCAAAGTCAGGCTAGCTCAGGGCTCAGGATCTGCATGTGGCAGACCAGCCTGGCAGGGACATCACCAGGGCATCCTTTGCAGTAGCACCCAGGCCCCTCCACTTGCAGAAAACCTGCTCTGCATGTTTTCAGGTTCTCAGAACAGGTACATGGCAAGGCAAGGGCTGCAAACACTCACAGCATGAGCCACAGCTAACAAGCCACAGAGCACCAGACCAGGAGCCAGGCAGGCTAGGACTCCAGACCTGGCTCCACGGCCCTCTTACTTTTGTGTTTAAAGGAAAACAAAAGCATTTCCATGTTTGGCATATAGGTTGCTTAAACATTTAACAAACTACTAAAGCTTATGAAAAACAGAGAAGGAAACCTAGAAAATTTCTTTTATTAACTCCTCCACACACTTCAATTTAGTAGGTGAAATACCTTAGGTGAGTCACTTAATGTCTGAGCCCTCGGTTTCTTCATCTGTAAAAAGGGGACACAACACCCACCCCAATGAGCTGCTGGGAGCTCACAATGAGATCAAGAGGCAGAGAACGCAGCTGGCACCGTGCCTGCTACACAGAGGAAGTGGAAGGCCTCACCCTCATCCTCGCCACCACCAACGCCACCAATCCAGGTCACCATGCGTGGCCAGAGGAGGGTCCTGGGCTCTGGGGTCAAACCCTTGCTCTACCATTTATTTATGAATTATGAGATGCCAGCCAAGTTGGCTGGCCTCTGAGCCTCAGTTTCCTCAAAGCTACAATGGTGATAACAATCGCTGTCCTTCAGGGTCACGGTGAAGATGGATGACAATGTGTACGGCACACCCCGCACAGCCCGCACTCGGCACAGAAGACTGTCTACGTGGTTCCTGGAATGCCGTAGGTGCTCAATAAATGGTGCTTACCCCCTGACCCGCCTGAGGACCACAGGGAAGCCCACCTTGAGCTCCAAGAGCAGACCTCAGAGGGATGCCTGCACACACCTGAGGCACTGGGGCAGGGGCCACTTACCTTCCTCCCCTCGGTGCTGCTCTCACTGCCAGCATAAGCCAGCTTCCGGCGCACGTAGAAAAGCATGTCATCCTGCCGGGGAGCCCATTTCTCCATGAAGTAGGTGGAGAACATCCACGTCCAGAAGACGATGCGGTCATCCTTGAAGCACCCTGCAGATGGGGGCCAGAGGGGGGTGAGAAAGGACGGGCCGCCCTGACCCTTGCTGTGTGACCTTGGCCACCCCCCCACACCCTGCATTTCTGCTCAGAAGCCTGACAGGGCTCTGAGATGCTCTGCCCTTTCTCCCTCAAAGACCCTGGCCCCCACCCAGGGGGCATCCACAGAAGCTCGAGGACACCTCCAGAGAGGCCGGATTCCAACCCCAGCAGCAGCCGGAGAGCCCGGGCTCCTCGCCCCACTGCCGAGCCTGACTCCAGCCTGTGGATGAATCAGCAGCTTCAGTGGAAAAGGAAAAACCCAACGAGACGGGCACGTCACTGGCTGGCTGTCTGGGCTGGAAGCCGGGAAGGCTTTGGGGGGAGATCCTTCAGGCAGGGAGGGAGGCAGCACCACTCTCACCAATGTCCTTCGCCCGCACCCAAGACACCCCCCAGCTGCGGCAATCCCCACGGAGAATCCGACTTACAGCAACGCTTAAGGCAACAGCCGCCCTCCAGCCAGCCATAGCCGCGGAAAGCCAGCAGGGCAGCTGGGGGACAGCGCACGCCCCCCACCTGCCGTGGAGCCCTGAGAGCACGCCAGCTTTATTCCCATTTGATTCTCACCGCGACTTTTCCTTCTATCACAAATGGTATTTCTTTACGATAAGTATCTGTAACCTTTTCCTGCACAGAGAGAAAAAGCCCACAGGCTTTGGTAGGAAAGCTCTAGGTTCCATTCCAGCTCTGGCACTTTCTGTGATGAGGGGCAGGGGGCTTGGCCTCTCTGCCCCACAGGTTCCTCGCAGGCACATACAGGTTACCAGAGGCCATGGGGCACACAGCAGGATCAACAAAGGCAGGTTTTCTCCCTTTCTAGATGGATCCAACAGAAGTTCAAAACATGCCCCCATGCTATCTCACCAACTCAGTACATTGAATCACTGCTGCTTCCTGTGACCCAGGCCTGGCGCTCTGTGCTGGAGCAATCCTACACGCAGAGATGGGAACCTGAGGCCGGCCGCACACTCACCCTCGCAGGCCGTTCAGCCAGCCAGGTCTCCTGACTCCGACCCTGTCCCTTCCTCCTAGGAGTCAGCCACTGGGCTGAGTCCGATGCCTTTGTTCACCTCAGACACCCCACACCCCAAGAACCAGGAAGAGCCAGGGCTCAACACCAGCTCAACACCTGCGGCGTGTGGCCCATGCACTTCACGCCCTGCCTGGCTCCTGGACACTCGGGCAGGGACAGGGAAGAAGAGAGGAGGTGGCTCCCTCAGTGAGGGGCCAGGCCAGCAAGCCCATCAGCCTGAGGCCAGGAGAGCCCCTGGGCCTGGCAGAACCCCCAGGATCACAGCACACTTTTGCAGCAGGCAGTGCTCCATCCACGCTGCCTGCAAAGTCACGTAAAGGTGCTCTGACCTTCCCGGGTAAAACTCCAACTCCCGCTTCCCTCCCCCATGCTGTTTCACTTCCCTCCCAACAGCAGGCCCTTTAGGGTAAACGGCTCAGAGGCTGCCCACAACAACCGCCTTCGGGGCCAGTGGTGGTTTCAGAAGTAACTCAGGCCGTGACAAGAAGGCGGTCATGGGTCATAGCTCGAAGCCCCACACCTGCCACAGCGAGGCCAAAGTCTGCCACAGCGCCACTCTTAGCACTCCCTTCCTCAGGGGTGTCTTTTTATTCTTTAATAAAAGTGGGCTGGCAGTAGTACTAGAGCACCCAGACAGTGGCAGCACTCACAACAGCAGTGACAACAAAGACAATACCCTCAGCGAGACTTGTTAGTTAGCACCTGGCACAGAGCTCCAGGCAGACGGTCTCATCACAGCCTCCTGAGCACTCGGGCATTACTGCCCCACTCCACAGAAAACACTGACTCTCCAGAGGTTCAAGAATGTGCCCAAGTTCACAGAGCTAGAAACAGACAAAGCCCTTAGATCAGCCAGGATCCCACACAAGGAGCAGCCGATACACACAAACTGCTCGCAGGTGGCCGGCTTGCCAGCAGGGAGGCGGGCTGGGAGTCTGGCCCCAGCAGGGTCCCGGCAAGGTGTCCCATTTCCTGCTTCACAGCGGGACACACACTCATCCCCCACTCTGCTGTGAGTCACGCCTCTGGGCCCCAAGAGTCTGGGTAACTGCAGCTGGCTGCCTGCCAGGACTTACTCCTAAAAGGGAGGCTCGTCATGCACAGGGCTCCTGGGGCCTCCACCCACTGCTCCTGGGGATTGAGGGGCAAAGCCACGGGCCACGTGCAGTGTGCCAGGCCCAGTGCTGGTCCAGCCTGCACATGTTCCCAGTTGAAAAGCACAGCAGGCACATGACCATCAGCAAGTCCAACGGTGCCACCTGCTGCCACCACCCCAACCCAGCCAACCTCATGTGCAGTGGCTGCTGGCCAGTACACCTATACAACAGCCCACCCTCCACACCACAACCAGAGGAACTTTATTTCAAAGATCCTTTTCTGCCCCCTCCCTTAGAAACTTGCCATCAAATTCAGAATGAAATCCAAAGCTCTTACAAAGCGCTGCACGCTGCCCCCACCCCCTCCCCTGCCACACTGGCCGCTGCCCCGTGAGCGCTGGGCATGTCCACCACGGAGCTGTGCCCTGCTCCTCCTCTGCCTCCAACCCCTCCCTGGGCTCTCTGCACGGGCGGCTTCTACCCCCGTCCAGCTGCAGTTTCAACGTCACTCCCAGAGCCTTTCCTGACCCCACATTCCTCCCCAGGGTCCTCCCTAGCTCGTTGTCTTATTTCCTGCCATCATAACCCCTGTCACCTCCTGGCTTTCCACACTGGCCCCGGAGCGGGGGCTTTGTCTTGGTCACCATTAGACCCCAGCACCCAGGTGAGTGCCAGGGTATAGTAGGCATTCAACAAACCAAGCTGGATTCATGGATTACCCCAATTTAAAAGGAAACAGGCTCAGTACGGCGGGGCAAAGTGTTCAGACCCCACAGCAAGGAAGGGGCCCAGCCAGGACCGCCCACCTGAAGCCTGAGCTCACCACAAGAGCACAGGGCGTGGACTGGCCACTTCCTTCAGCCTCGGGGACCCTTCGGCTTAAGATCTTTCAGAGAAGCCCCACTTGTCACATGAGGCCAGGCCCACTTGCTTAGCTCTCCCCAGCCTCAGAGCCATGACTCCACTGTGGAAAACTGCTGCTGGCTGCCGGAGGTGGTAGCCTCCTGTGTGCTGAGCAGGTGCAAGCAGGAGGGAGGAGGAGAGGGTGTCTGGACAGGCCACTCCTCAAAGCTCTCCAGCCTTCCTGGTCACCTGCTGCCACCACTGAGTGTCAGAAGACCCAGCACCAACCAGCTATGAGAGAAACACAAGGGGCCTTCAGTTTCACCGTAAGCTAGAGAACACCACACTGACACTATCACTATAGTTACTACTTTAGTACCAGGGTGACAAACCCAGCAGGGAGAAACTCACAGTCTGCGGGGAAACAGACACACACCCCTCCCTCTGACACGAGGGCAGAGGCCCTCCCCTCAGTCCGGGAGAGGCATTCACGGCAGGAAGAACTGCCAGAATATCACTGGGGGACAGTGTGTCCATGTGCTGCACTCCGAGAGACACTGAAGAGACAGATCGTGCAGAACATCTTCACACCCACTCAACATTTAAAATCACAAAGGAAATGGCCAAGAGCTGCCCTCTTACAAACACTGAAAACTCCCCTCAATCCCTGGTAATTTAGTAGTTAGGAAAAAACAAAACAAAACAAAAATCACCTCTCCCCTTCATGTCCAAGAAGGGCATAACCAAAATCCAAAGAAACAGGATGCACTGGAAGACAGAATCCATGACACATGGCTGACGTCCATGACAAATGACGGGGCCACATCACGGCAAGTTATAAAAAAGGCGCATAAGACTCCAATAGATAAGTATAAAAATACTACAATAGGCAATACACCAAAAAGGAAACATACTGGTTAACAAAAATGTGGGAAAATATTAATCTCACTAGTAACCAAAAATTCATATTAAAGACCAGTTGTCATTTTTTTTTCTTTTTTTTTGAGACAGAGTCTCACTCTGTTGCTGGGCTAGAATGACATGGCGTCAGCCTTGCTCACAGCAACCTCAAACTCCTTGCCTCAAGCAATTCTCTTTTCTCAGCGTCCCAAGTAGCTGGGACTACAGGCATGCGCCACCATGCCCGGCTAATTTTTTCTATATATTTTTAGTTGGCTGATTAATTTCTTTCTATTTCTAGTAGAGACGGGGTCTCACTCTTGCTCAGGCTGGTTTCAAACTCCTTACCTTGAGCAATCCTCCCACCTCAGCCTCCCAGAGTGCTAGGATTACAGGCGTGAGCCACCGAGCCCAGCCCAGTTGTCATTTTTTAAAAGAGCAAATTTGGTCTGTAAAAAACAGCACTTAGGAAAACTGTCAGATTCTTATAAAATTAAACATACCAAATTTACCAAACCATTCAGCCACACCTCAGTCCCTACCCAAGAGAAATGAGGCATGTGTCCACACAAAGACGGGCACAGAAGTGTTCACAGAAGCTTTATCCATAATGGCCCCAAACTGGAAGCCGGGAGAACGGCATGAAAGGTGGTAGAGCCATTCAACAGAATATTACCAGCAATGGAAACAAACCACTGATCCACACAACATCACAGATACATTTCAAAGTCATCATGCAAAGTGAAAGAAGTCAGGCCTAAAAGGCTATATATGATCACACTTACGTGACACTTGACAGGTGCGTATAGCCATCAAAACTCATCAAACTACTCTACATGGATGTGGTTTATTTTATGTAAGTTATACTCCAATAAAGTTGATTAAAAGTTACAGCTGAGGCCGGGCGCAGTGGCTCACGCCTATAATCCTACCACTCTGGGAGGCCGAGACAGGCGGATTGCTCAAGGTCAGGAGTTTGAAACCAGCCTGAGCAAGAGCAAGACCCCGTCTCTACTATAAATAGAAAGAAATTAATTGGCTAACTAATATATATAGAAAAATTTAGCCGGGCATGGTGG